GTATATATATATATATATTATATTTATATATTGGATGTGAGGGTGCGCTCGAAGGTAAAAGTGTATGTCGAGTGAGTTTTCAAAATTTTGATGCTAAATTTGTGAGCGAGTCTCTTTATATGTGTTTGTAATATAATGACAAGAATCAAAGTTATTTTTCATTTCTTTCTTAAGGGTGAACTGATCGACTAATAATGGGGATCATATTGGTGGAAATATAGGAAGTCGAAGGATAGGGTTAAGGTTCTAGTATGAGGTTTCCTGGGTTTTGGTTGGAATTGAGGTCGTCGGGGTTAGGTTCAAGCTCACCAAAGCTTAGGTTAAGGTTTGATGTCACCACATTTTCAGGTTACTTGGATTCAAGGTCGTCGAAGTTTGGGTTAGGGTTGGGGTTCAAGATCATTGGGGTTGGGTCGAGGCTAAGGTTCCACTACAAGAAAAATTGAATTTTCTAACGGACAAAATCCGTCAATAACTAAGAAAATCCGGCGGTAAATAGATATTACCAACGGATTATCGACAGACAAAAATCCGTCGAAATTGTGTTGTCAGTAAATATTACCGATGCATTTGAAAAGTCCGTCAAGTAATTATCGACATATTTTTATTATTTATTAAAATTTAAATTATTATTCGATTAAGAGAAGTGTCACTAAGATTATTCAAACCAAGTACCTTAAAATTGAAGAATAATACTTTAACCACCAAACTACTAGGATTTTCTGAAATTATATTTATACAAAAAATGTATATCCGTGTAAATATATAAATACAAATATATTTATATAGTTATATATTTATATGTTGGATATGAGGATGCACTCGAGGGTGAAAGTGTGTGTAGAGTGAATTTTCAAAATTTGATGTCAAATTTGTGAGTAAGTCTCTTTATATGTGTTTGTAATTTAATGACAGAATATAATATTTATAATTTATTTATATAATGATATAAAATAATTTTTTCTTTTTTTATTTTTTATTTTATTTTATTTTATTTTATTTTATTTTAATTTATTCTTTTTATCTTTTTTTATTATTATTATTTAATTAAAATTATCATATTAAAATAATTTTTCAATATTAAAAATACTTAAATATTTATTTTTAAAATTATTAAATTTAACAAATTATTATAAATTAATCTAATTATGATTAAATTAAATTATTAAATAAAAAAGTATTTAATTTTTTAATTAGGTGAATAATTAATTTATTAGAATATATTTAAAATTAAGTAATTATTATATAATTTTAAATATTTAATTTTTTTAATTTAATGTTGATTTTTAAAAATATAATTTAAATTAGTCGATAACTAATTATTAATTTACCAATGGATATCCAGTCAATAACTAATTATTCATTTACAAAAATTATTAATTTATCGACGATTATATCCGTCGATAATTAATTGTTCATTTACCGACGAATATATTCATCGGTAATTTATTGTTCATTTACCTGCGGACTTACCGGTGGACATATCTGTCGGTAATTAATTGTTCATTTACTGATAGATTTACCGACGGATATATCTGTCCGTAATTAATTGTTCATTTACTGATAGATTTACCGACGGATATATCCATCGGTGATTAATTGTTCATTTACTGACAGATATCCATCGGTAAGACCAAATTTCACAACTACTTTAAATCCATTGGTAATCAATTATTTCCGATGACTACATATCTGTCGGTAAATATCCATCTGTAATTAATGATTTTTTTGTAGTGTTCAACATCACTGGGGTTTGGGTTAGGGTTTGAAATCAATATGATGATTTGGGTTTGGCTTGAGATTGGGGTTCGATGCTGCCAGAGTTAGGTTTAGGCCTCTAATTCGCTGAGGTTGAGGCTGAGGTTGGGTCGCTTGGGTTTCAATTAAGTGTTTTGGTCTCTGACGTTTGAAATTCAAGGTTACTGGGTTGGATTTCAAGTCATTGAAGTTGAGGTCAAGTCACGGATGTTGAGTTTCAGGTTGCGGTGTTGACATTCCAGGCTTCTGTTAGGTTAGAGATAACTTCCAAGTTAACTATTGAGGGTGGGAGAGATGAAGGGTCTAGTCAAATTAAGCATGGTCTCGGACAACAATGGTGAGATTCAACAATGGCCGGTAAAAGGTCATGAGTTAGACCAATGTGGTTACACATATGGTAAAATGTGAGCGCTAAGAAGATGAAAATTTGGGAAGGTAATAATTAATAAAATATAATTTTTTACTAATTAAATGAATTAAAAATTAAATTAAATAATAAAGTGACTCGAAATAGTACCTGATTTTATGTGACAAAAAAGTTAATTACTAGACTCGAAAAATAATAATTTGGTTACTAATTTAGTAACGAGATAGTAATTAAATTTTTATGTTAATGATTTCGATTACTATTTGATATTCTAATAATGTATGTTGAGGTTTACTCATATTGTTTTAGTAGAATATAATAAATATGAAATTATTATAAAAATCAAAGAGATAATTTAATATTTTTTAATGTAATATTATTTTATGAAATTAAATTCAAATAATTTTATAAAAATATTTCAAAGTACTATTGAAAAAAAAGAGATTATAATTACTTAAAAATATTTTATTAATAAAAAAATAATAATTAACTATATTGGTGTAGTTTTATAATATAAACATTTAATTTTATTTTTTATTTTTTATTTTATTTTTTATATTTTTCTCTCAAATAAACAAATATACGTTTTATTATAAATTTTTTTCTCTTTAATTACACTTTATCGAGAGTATCTAAGTGAGAATTTGTGATAACTATTCATGAGGAAGGCTAATCAAATAAATTTCATCCTTATAAAGTGTTTTTAATTTGTTGACCTTAATTCCTATGTTTAAAAAGGGTTTGAAATCATACACATCCCTAAAATGTATTAAGATTTTAAATCAATTGATAATATATAAACATATTTAAACTATATTACACAAGAATAAATCTACGTATCATGATTATTTGCCTTTTGTTTTTGTTGCTTACTACTTGCAGATTTAAAATCTAAGTAGAGTAAATCTATTTTTCAAATCAAGTGATGTATTTATACATTTTTAATTATACACAGATTTATTATAAAATATTGCAAACAAATTTAAATCAAATGATATATTTATATATTTTTAATTATACACAAATTTATCATTGGCAATAAATTTAAATATATAAGATTAAGAAATATTTAATAAAAATTTACATGTACGTGTTGCCAACCAGCCTCTTTGTATGCTCCCATTGGTGGAAATTTAGTGATGTGGTCAACGTGTTCGCTGTCTATTCTCAGTTGGTTCTTCACGATTTGGTGTTTATGGCGGATCAAGAGTGCTAAGTGGGTCAAACAAAGCAAATAGTTTGGCACATTCCATTCACATATTGCAATATGTGAAAACTTGTTCAATTTAAGGTAATTACAATACCAGTTAACGTTGTTTAATTAGGATGATGAAGCTGTCGTTAACGACAAAGGTGTGAGTGAAACGGCACTGCTTGGTTGCATGAAACGGCAGCGTGCGGGAGTGAAGGCAATTGCGTTTGTTCTAAAAAATCACGAGAGAAGCGTGTTCTGGTGTCGCCTTCATACCTTATCCCTCTTTCTTAGAATGACGTAAAATGTGCCTTGTCAGATTCTCACTCACATTCCATATTCCTAACTATCATTTTCTTTTTTCTTTTTTTTCATTGTTATCCTTCTCAACCCAATTCATTCTTCTTCTTCTTCTCATTTTTTCTTAACAATGATCATCATGTATCTTAACTTAACTCCTTTCAGGTTTTCTGAGTAAAAAATTCAGAGTGTAAGTGGAATAGGTTCCATCATAACCATACACTACTTTTAGGTGGTTAATGTATCATTCATTAATAGAGATAATGTAATTTATTCTTTAATTTCATGCTTCATAATTGGCGTTGCTATGCTTTGAGGAATCAGGATTTAAAACTGTTTTTATTTTAATCAGGTTTATGTTTATTACATTCTTTTCATTTTTTTAGATATACTCCATTCATCAGTTTTTTTTAATTAAACAAATTTGAATTATTCATTAATTTATTTCTCATTAATTATCCCGAAAAGACCATATATCCTTATTTTCTATTTTTCACAATTTGAATGAATAATGAATTTTCTTAGACTTTCTTTTCGCTCAAAACTTATCAGCAACAATATAAAAATCCACCCAAATAAAATTAATATCAGTTTTTTTTCTCTTCCAATTCTTAATTTTACATAAGATAAAATCATTCGAATTATATATAAAAATCAATTCTCTAATCGTAATTATTCCCCATACCCAATCTATTCCAAACTCTAGAATATTTAAATATAGATATAAGAAAAAACGTAGAAAGATTAATAAGGGGACAAATTTTGCTCAACCTTAAAATTTGAAAAAAGAAGAAGAAAAAGAATGAAAGTAGACACAATTTACATTAATAAAAACCAAAGCAAAATTACATTGAAGCTTAAAATTATATGCATATTGCATAGTTACGAGAAATGTATAAATGAAGATGGGAAAATAGCAATTTATGCAATGTGTATATGATATAAAATTGAGGTGTGCAAATAATTGGAAAGCACTATTATTTGGTAGAATGTGGAAAAAAAGGGGGGGTAATAAACAAGAATTAAAGTTAAATTAATTGGGGAAAAAAGCACGCGACAAAGGTGCAAAAAGTCATCCACTCCCACAAACAAGAAATAGTCCATTTTTTGTAATATAGTGATAAAGTAGGGGTCTTTGATTAGTCTTAGAACAACACCTTGAAATAAGTCCACGTACATCTCTTGTGATGTGCCTATATATGGTGTTGGAATTGGCATAGATTAGAGAAGAGTGACACCAATTTTAAACGCAAATTCCTCTCTCACAAAAAAGTTCAAGAGGAGGAACTTCAATATTCTATTCTATTTTAAACGCAAATCTCTCTCTCTCTCTCTCTTGAGCTTCGTTTGCTTGAAACCAAGATCATCATCATCATCATCGTCATGGAATGGAGGAAGTGCTACTTGGATGTGATATTGGTGCCCTTGGGGTTTCTTACAAGCATTGGCTACCATTTCTGGCTATGGCATAAGGTTCGAACTCAGCCACACACAACCATCATTGGCATCAATGCTAGTGGTCGTAGAAATTGGGTTCATGCCATGATGAAGGTACATCTATCTTTTTTCTTTTCATTTCTCTCTTAATTTTCCTTTTCTTTTCTATAGTCTAATTTTTTTCTCTACAACAAAATTTGCTTTCAAACATGCCTTTGATATTGCAACTTTTGTGCCAAATGAAAAATTGAAGGTGAAAAGCTTAATTTATAAAAGTTAATAATAATAATTAATAATATGGGCTTTTACCAACAATAAATGGATTGTTAGTGACATTCGTTTGTAATTAGTAGTAATACTTTTACAAATCCTACATATGTTGACCATGATTTCATAATTGTCGGAAAATGTTATACCAGTTATTTACACTGCAGGCGCAATATTTTTTATAATTAATTACTTATTATTATTGCTATACTAAATTGCTTCATAGTGGAAAAGTTTTTTTTACAGAAAAAAAAATGAAGTTTAAACCATTCTTTTTCTAGTTCAAAACTTAAAATATGTTAAACAAAATTTTTTTTTAATCGATGCTCTTATGTTAACCCTAAATTGTTAATTTGTAAAATATCTTCAAAAGTTAAGATTTTCGTATAATGGGTATAAAAGGTCTTAGATTATGAATTAAGCTTCTAATATTTTTATATATTGTTATAATATACTTTATTATACTATTTATAAAAATATAATGCCTAAATTTCATAACAATTGTAAACATCAGTTTGATACTATAGTGGTCTTGATTTTTATTATTTTTTAGAATTGATGGTACTAAGGAAATGATAATAATATAAAATAAAACCCTATCAGAAATATTAAGCTATATTAAAAATGAATTTTAAATAAGTGTGATATATTATGGAATGTTAATAATAATGTTTTCAATTATTATCATTATTTAAAAAGTTTAATAATTAATTTTTCTAAATGCAATTTGAGATCAATTATATTGTAAATGGGTGATTGAGTGATTACCATTTTATAAATATACTCAAATATAGTTAACATTTTTACAATTTAAAAAAAAAAAGAGTTATATTATGATAAGACTGAAATAACAAGATTTGGCAAAGCACTAAAAATATTTAGACACGATCCTGATTGGTGAAGGAAAGAGAACAATTTATTATATACTGTACTTAGATTTTAGCATTTCTGGAATAATATTTGTGTGTATCAAATTCTTGTGATGAACACTGTCAACATTATATTGGAATTTTTATGCAAATAGCATTTCCTGGGAGAATAAGAAGAACTTGGAATAATTACACTGAAGAGGATATTGCATGTTATAATCAATTCCATATTCCTTGGCATTTTCCTTTTCTTAATTTATTCTTGTTCCGGGTAGATAATTAATGCCACTTTAACAACCCATGCATAAACAAAACAACAGAGAATGTTCTTCATGGTATAATTCAGTGAATATCCATATCCAAGAAACTTCTAGGTATACCTACATAGTGTGCATGACAAATCCACCACGGATTTATCATAATATTTTCAAAGAAATCTCTGCATATAGCTAAGTTAATTTGTTTTAGTATATATATATATATATATATATATATATATATATATATATTCTGAACTTGAAAAACAAATCAACACTATTCTGATTTAGTGCGTGCTGAGTCGTGAACAACAAATGTCGTTTCCTACGTTCTTTTTAATATTCCTTAAACGTTGTCCCACGATGCAATGTCTCAAGCTACGAAATAAAAAGTCTTCTTTTTAAATGATAATAAACCAACACAAAAATTACTATGGATCTAATTTTTAAAACATTGAGAAAAAGAATAACTATTTTCTCTTTTGCGAATTCTTCACTTCATTTAAATAACAAGTCTTATCATGGTACGTAGACAAATATTTTTGCTTTTAAGAATATTAAAACAAATCTCAAATCTTATCTTACTCCACACCAAATCTGTCATGTCATATGAACTTGTGTTTCCATCATTCCTATGCAGTAAAAAGGATCTGATAAATTTTAACTTCTTTTACATTTAACGATGTTTTTTTTTTTTTTGTTATGAAGAATAAGTGAGTAATGGAGATGTATATATGTTGAGTATGGCAGGATAATGACAAGAAAAACATTCTGGCCGTACAATCTCTAAGGAACACAATCATGGGTGCTACTCTAATGGCCACAACTTCCATTCTCCTCTGCTCAGGTCTAGCAGCAGTGATAAGCAGCACTTACAGTGTGAAGAAGCCACTGAGTGATGCAGTGTATGGGGCACATGGAGAGTTCATGGTGGCCCTCAAATATGTCACACTCCTCACAATTTTCCTCTTCTCGTTCTTCTGTCACTCTCTCTCCATAAGGTTCATAAACCAAGTGAACATCCTAATCAACACCCCTCAGGACCCCATGTCCCTAGTGACCCCACAGTATATCAATGAGATCCTGGAGAAAGGCTTCATTCTCAACACTGTGGGGAACAGGCTCTTCTATGGAGGACTCCCTCTGCTGCTCTGGATCTTTGGCCCTGTCTTGGTCTTCCTCTGCTCCCTCACCATGGTCCCAGTGCTCTACAATCTTGACTTTGTCTTCACTTCTGGGAAGGGAAAGATGGAGGCCAACCAGAACAGGGATTTTGTATGATATTAGTGTGTAATGTAATGTAGCAATAATGGAGAATTGATTAATTATACTATGTGGGAGTAAGTGAGTGAGAATTGAAGTGGCTCTTTTTCTCATCTTCATAATAAAAAATGTGCAGGTATGCGTTTCCCACTGGAACGAGCTTTCAGGTGATGATGATTCAGTAGTTTCTGTAAGTTATGTTGTGAACAAAGAGCATAACTTGTGCATAGTTTTGATTTGCTTGGATGAATAAAAAGTTGCAGTGGTGCAAAGTTGATATCCTTAACTAATAAAAAGAGCATAACTTTTAACATTTTTACCAACTATATATTTTAATACTTTTAACCTGGAAAATGTTTGCACAACTTCATTAAAGTATATATTTTAGTGGAGTCCACACAGGAACAATTTGGCGCAGAATTTCTTGCCAAAAGCTCAAGCAAATTGATGTGTCATGGCTTTAAAGTAGAGATGACATACAAATCTCCACATCCACATGTTCTTTGGGATTATGAACTGTGTTAGTCACATTGGATAAGATCATTTTATCTAAAATTGTTGTTATATTTCATTCATTTTCAAATTATTTGTGATATATGGATAAAAAATATTATGTTAATTATTGAGTTTTAATAATATATTATATTTGTCAATATTAATGCATATGGAATGAATTCCATCTCAGTGTAATTCATGAAGTATTATCATGTAATGAATCTATGTTCATGAACAACATAAGAAACACAAATAAAAAATTAATTATAAAAGAAATAAAATTAAAATTTATTATATTAATAAAGAAAAATGTATGTGAGGTTTGATATGAGATAATAGTTTATCAGTAATAGAAGATAATAAAGTAGTTTGAATATTTCAATTTAAAATTTAATAAAATTATAGACATAAAACTATTTTTTAATATATATATATATATATATATATTGAAAATAAATTTAAATTATAAAAATGTGATTGGTTTCTCATTAATCATGCAAATGTGAAAAAGTTCAATAAATATAAATTTATTTCTTTTAAAATATTATATTTCTCATCTCCATACAAATAAAAACAAAGAAAGTTAACTATGACCTCAATTTATCTTATGGTCATATATATACTTTATATTTATATGCATGTATTTTATTTAGTATAATTGAATAATAAACTATAACATAAAAATTATTGGATAAAATTTTAATATATTTTTAGATATATTTAAATTATTTATTCGTTTAATGTTATAAAATATATAACTTTTAATAAATTTGTTTGTTTATTTTTATGTAATATAAAATTATATTTAAAATATTTAAAATTAAGAAAAAATATTTATTTCTCTCAAATCTATAAATTTTTTAGACCGATCTAGTTTTCTCCTCCCACTTTTTTTTAATTTTTTTAACATAATCAAAATAATTACTATAATTTGAAATGTAAAATAGGAAAAGACGTGTAAAAAAAGTTTAAAATATTTTTTATAAAACAAAAAAACTCGTATGATTGTAATTTTTTTCTATTGGCATATTAATTGACACTATGCTAATAACGAAAAGTCGAACTAAAAAAAATCAAATGAAAAAAAAACCAACCTATAACTTTTCAGAGTTAACTTTGTAAATATCCATTTTGTATAAGAGACTATTTTTAAAGGATCTTTTTCCCCAACAAAAAAAACAACCAATGTTGTAACACAAGAAGTTGCTTTCTTAAAAACACATGTAAGTACTTTTAAATTTTAAATATATAAAAAATATTGTGAACTATGAAATAACATTGACACTTTTTCGAAATATTGAGTAACAAGTAATCCCAAAATTCTTTTCCCCACTCTATTGCATCTCAACACCGAACCCTGCGGTTGTGGATCGTCGGAAAGGACTCCTTCTCCTTCAATCCCGAGTATGTTTCTGTCGCACTCATTTATTCGCTTGCTTAGGGTTTCGTTTCGTTTTCCTTTTTGTTTCTGCTCGTAATAATCGAATCAACTTTTGCATCACATGCCTTCTATTTAGCAATCACCACCTAAATTTCAGATTAAATGCATAATTCAATTTTTTTTATTTTTTTTTTCATATCTTGTGTTTCTCCATGCTCTCGAACAAATGTGTGACCGCGGTTCAGGAGTGGAAAAAATACAACTTTAGATTGCTCTAGCAAATCTGAATGTCTTCCATGCAATTTGTTTTTTTAGTTTCTGTTGGGTAACTGGGTCATCGTGATACGAAAGTTCTACTGGCTTTGCCCATGATTGATTTTCTGGTGGGGAGTTTGTCTGGGTCACTTTTAGTGGGTCTCTCCTTCTCGATCTCAATCATGTTTTTCTTCATCGAGTCTTGAATTGAGTTATTGGTTAAGCAATCTGACTCCAGTTTCACTGGGACCAACGACATGTTGGTTGTACTTTTAGTTTTTCATTAGTCAACTGAATATTGTCTTGAAAGTGTCTAATTCATCAAGTTTTGCATTTTATCGAGTTATGTATGTGTTTTATTGAATATGCAATCTTGAATAAATGTTGGATTTATATGAGTGTGTGTTTATATATAATGTTTTTTGTTTGCGAATCCCATTGAGGTATTAAGATCTATTTAAGAGATTGACCTTGTTCAACAAATGCGATTTTGTATACACGAACTTGGGATAAAATCTTTGATGTATTGGTTATGGGACATGACTATATGTCAACCATACCATGGTGTATTGGTTTTATGATGTATTTATTGAGTTACGACGTGATCACCGAAGTGTGTGTATTGCGTTCACGGATGGATGCCTTTGGTATGTTTTCTTTACTTGGTAATAAATAGTAATTCATTGAACATTTCCTTTGTATTGTAGTATTGGTTTGGTCATCATACCCCTTGGTAATTCTGGTATAAGTTTGGTGCGGTCAAGATTTGATTTTAGACTACTGTCTTGAATAGATGTTTTGAAGATGAATGGTAGAGTTGGTAAGATTTTTAATACTTACAGTTAAATGGTGTCTGTTGTTTCTTTTCATGATCAAATGCTTGCATGAGAAAGTATATTAAAAGAGATGTATTGTTAAATATTTTTAATGCTCTGTGCTCCTTTTAAAAGATAACTCTGATCATGGGTATGCCCTATGCCTATGCTCTGAACGTAATATACTGTTCTATTTTGATTTCTAAACATTGACATGTCTGTCTTTGCTTAGAGTACATAATATTATTTTCCAGTATAAAAGAGTGAGGTTTTCTACCACGTATCAATGCATCAAATAAATAAATTTTGTTCAATTATTTATCTATTTGGTGTTGTAGCCTGATAATCTAGTTGTCGAAATTTGTTGTTGAAGATAGTTTTGTCTTGGTCATGGATTCCCGTTTGTTCATGGAAGTTGTTTAATATTTTTTCTATTATTTAAGGACAGCAAAACATTGTCATGGTATCATACAATCTTGGTCATGGAATCTTGTTTAGCATTTATGAGATGTTTTTCATCTAAGAGCATCAAATGTCATATGACCTGCTGCATCTGGCCTTACATTACACCCTGTCAGTTTTGCAAGTTCTGTATAATTTAGTTTTAATAGGTAAAACTGTTTACTTTTGGGGAATGGTGGAACATCTGAATTTGCGACAATAATGTTCACTCGATAGTCTATACTAGTGCAAAGGTCGTTAGCTTTCAGGCATTTACCCTTGTTGACATTTTTTTTTTCTTTTTTGCAGAACTGAGCAGCGACCATGACTTCTTTTCTTCCTGCCACAACAGAGTCAATTTCTCTGGCACTGGAAGCCGAAGACCCATCTGAAAGAATATCCATTCTTTATCGGGTACTTGATGATCCTTCTTCTTCTCCAGATGCTCTGCGCATGAAAGAGCAGGCCATCACAAACCTCACTGAGCAGCTCATGGAAGAGAATAGGGCAGAGGATCTGCGCAGCCTTCTTACTCAGTTGAGGCCCTTCTTTTCCTTGATTCCTAAGGCAAAAACTGCAAAGATTGTGAGGGGCATAATTGATTCTGTTGCTAAAATACCAGGGACTTCTGATCTACAAATTACACTCTGCAAAGAAATGGTGCAATGGACTCGTGCTGAAAAACGTACCTTTCTGAGGCAACGAGTTGAGGCAAGACTTGCAGCACTACTGATGGAAAATAAGGAGTATTCTGAAGCATTGACTCTTCTTAATGGCCTGGTCAAAGAGGTTAGAAGACTAGATGATAAGCTTCTTCTTGTAGACATAGACTTGCTTGAAAGCAAGCTACACTTTTCCTTAAGAAACCTTCCAAAGGCAAAAGCTGCCTTGACAGCTGCAAGAACAGCTGCAAATGCAATTTATGTTCCTCCAGCTCAACAAGGGGCCATAGATTTGCAGAGTGGGATTCTTCATGCTGAGGAGAAGGATTACAAAACTGCATATAGTTATTTCTTTGAAGCTTTTGAGTCTTTCAATGCTCTTGACGACCCCAAAGCGGTATTTAGCCTGAAATACATGCTGTTGTGTAAGATCATGGTGAGTCAAGCTGATGATGTGGCTGGAATTATATCTTCTAAAGCTGGCCTGCAATATCTTGGCCCCGACTTGGATGCCATGAAAGCAGTTGCAGATGCTCATTCTAAGCGATCTCTGAATTTATTTGAAATCGCTTTGCGAGATTATAAGGCTCAGTTGGAGGAAGACCCAATTGTCCACAGGCACCTTTCATCCCTGTATGATACTCTCCTGGAGCAGAACCTTTGCAGATTGATTGAACCTTTCTCAAGGGTTGAGATTGCACACATTTCTGAACTAATTGAGCTTCCTGTTGATCATGTGGAACGAAAGTTGTCTCAGATGATTTTGGACAAGAAGTTTGCGGGGACATTGGATCAAGGAGCTGGATGCCTTGTCATATTTGATGATCCCAAAACGGATGCAATATTCCCTGCAACCTTAGAAACCATTTCTAATACTGGGAAAGTCGTGGACAGTCTTTATGCTAGGTCTGCCAAGATAATTGCATGAGTTCTCCATCCGTTCACTTTGGTATTTGTTTGCTACCATACTTCACTTACGTTCTGTTTACAATTAGAAGGATATCATTTGTTGGACTCGGTAACAGTTTTTAGCTGTTGAATCCATTGATCTCTAAACTACTTGATGGGCTTTATTATTATGATTAAGGGCATTTTGATGGTCGGATTTTGAAGAATACGTCAGTAGTGTTGCTATCACCATTATATTTACACAACATTCACACAAAAACATCTTAGTCCTACACTCTTTGAACACATTTTCTCTTACATACCTTCTTTTATTGTTGAATTTTTTTTTTAGAAAAGAGTATCGATTTAATGATTTATAATTAGATAGTTTTCAATAAATTTTAATGTGAGGAATGTTGCTATCATTCATCTTCAAGTAGATAGGGTTTCCTAATTGTTCTGATATTTTAAATTTTGATTTATCGAAATAAAATATGAGCAATCCAATATTCATCTGACCAGTTTCAATCTAAAGCAATGGTTCAGTAAATGCATGTGTTTTTCAACTGCGCTCTATTAGTTAAGGATTTTCAATCGTTATTTCATGAGTAGAATCACTTTGGATATTCTTCTAAACAAGTCTTTATCATAAGAGAAGAAAACAAATCGAGTTTATGTAATAATTATAAATACTTACAAACTCTTTCAGTTTTTTTGTGATTAATTAAAAATCAAATCCTTACCTTTGAAGTTTGTTTGTAGCAACATAAGCAAAAGAGGCGTGCATATGTTTTATCTGTAGGCCTTGTTTGGAGACAAATCATGTCAACAAAATGTCCTGGTGGGCCGTATCTGGTCACAATAAGCTTGGCAAAGTCATTTATAAAACTCAAAATTAATCAAACAACTATATTTATTTTCAGCCGACTGATGCATATATATGGATCATTTCATTTTTTTATCCAACATTTTAATTTTTAATGATAATTATGTCAATTATTACTTTTTATTTTTGTATAGAGTTTATCCTTGATAAAAATGATTTAGGAAATTAATATCTTATTAAGATTATATGTCTCATTAGAATTTGACTAACATTATATTATCTTTGAGTTATAGGTACTGTTGAAGTCCGTTGTATCATTTATACGTGATGTTGATTAATAAATAGCTTAACTCCCAAGGATTCTGTGCTTCAAAATTCGACAATTCATAGTTGTTGGAATCCTAGAGTTCAATTTTCTCTCCATAGCCATTTGATGTTAGCTTTTTAACATAATATTAGATTTAGTTATTGATTGTGCGTAAAACAATGTACATTGAAAATTCACTTATTATTTTCCATGATGACAGCTTAATTTAGATAATTTTGTTTTAGTATATAGTTTAGAAATTGATAACCCAAATAATTTATATATTTTTTCTTCTTTTTATTTTCTTCACAAAATATCTTGTCATAATAGAATGAGAATGAACTAGAACTATAAAATAAACAATATGTTGAGAATGATATTATTATAATGATGACAATATTAGAACATTCTTTTTATTAGACAAAACAAATTTATAAAGGATTTTTTTTTTTACCACCGATTTAACCAAGAATGGGATTGATTCGTGTAAATACTGTAGAAATCTTGAAATGTGAAACATAGTGATTGTGGAAGTGTTTGATGAAAAAGAAATGTTTAGACGGAAGAAAGAGAAAACCTAAAAGAGTAATAGATCACGCTTCATCTCTAATCAAGTTCGTAAAAAAAAAAAAAAGAAGCATTTGTCTAATATTTTAACTTCGACAATTTCATCGATTAACATCTCATGTAATATCTCTTATGCCACTCATTATCATTTTGCTAATGCTTTACAAGCTTTAAAATTTTAAAGGTTAAAATTGTAAAAGTCCAAGAAAAACCTAACTAAAATCTATAAGTTAGAATTAAATTCTATAATTTAATCTGTAAAAGTTTTTTCATAATAGTTTCTCTAAATTCTTATTTAACTACTTATTTTAATTTATGAAATATTTTTTTGTATAATTTATAACTTCTAAAAATAGATATGAAAATTTGTATCCAAACATACATAAAATTGTTTTATAACTTTTTTACTTGGACTAAAGTATATTTGTAACTTAACAAGCTCCATCTAAAGAACATGGAATAATTAAGAAAAAAAAATATATATATATATATATATATATATATTAATAAATGTAACAACTTTAATTCTTTTGCTCCAAAAGCATACTTTTGAAAAGTTATGAAAAACATGGCTGGGTGTGCCTGTAATTTTATTAGCAGCCTCTGAGCACCGTGTGATTTGTGCCCACTAGTTCTCTCTTCTGATTTTGGAGGAGAGTTATTCGGATGATATAAAGAGTTACTGGGATGATATAATATAAATGAGATTTGAATCTAACTTATATAAAGATCGACACATTTTTTATTTAAAATTTTAAGTTAAAATAGTTTTTTATCAAAAGTTTTTTTTTATAAAGTGAGAATGATAATGTAAAGTAACAATGGTAGATGAAATAATCACTAATAAGTTCGATAGATATATAATACGGAGGAATTCACACTTTAATAAAATGGTTGAGTAATATATAAAGAAGGATGACCTTTAACTTAATACTTTTAGATTTTTTGTTGAAAGTAATGTCAATTTTTATATGAATTGGACTCAAGTTAATTATGATATATCTTTCCAGTAAATTTCTCCTCAAAAGTCCTAATAAGAAATATCATGGCCGAATATTTATCGGCATCAAGTCAGAATAATCTTTATATTAAAAGTTTTGTTGACAGAGTGAATTAAGTAAACGTGTTCCTTAAAGTGAATAACGATACAAACTAGTGAGTTCGAGAGATATATATAGAGAAATTCACACTTTTATAAAAAATTGTTAAGATTAGAAATATAATTTTAAGTGATATATTATGAAAGAATAAAAAGATTAAATAATATATAAAAAGTGTAACCAATAACTTAATCTCTTCAATATTTTTGAGTTAAGAATAATATTAATTGAACTCATATTTTATTTATTCATGTATGTATTTCTGTTATCCTGGAAAGATCCAACATTGTCATCACAATTTGAAGGTGGTTTTAACGTGAAATCTGGGTGATCTAACTCAGAAAAGTTAGGTATTGAGTGATGATAACAGGAAAAAAAAGGTTAGATGAGAATAATAATAAACAAATAAAGCAAAGTTTGGCAGTTACCATGAGACTTTCGGGGGAGGGAAAAAGTGGAGAAAACAAGGCCAAGTTGCCAACTTTTTTTGTGTAGGGTCGGTGCTTGTCCCAATCAATCTACTTTAACCAGAACTTACACATTAAGAAACTCATTTTAATTTGCTGAAACACCCTTTGTTCTTTGCCTTTGATACATATATTCCATTGCTGCATAAGCCACATCAAGGTGCAGAAAATGGCTTTAGTGCTTTTCCAAAAGTAAAGTTGTTTGCACGGCTTTGTTTTGCTTTGTTGGGTTTGGAATTTGGACCTCGTCTCATTGGGTGGCTGCTCTATTTTTTTCGCGGCACCATGCTTTCTTATATTTGTATCCATTGCATTTGCATGGTGCTTCCCCACTCTCACTTTGTTATCACAACCTCATCAACTTTTGCATGATTGAAGTTTTGATTGCCAATCCCTCCTAATGCTTCCTTAATTATTGTTTTATAGTTTTCTTGACTTGCCAAAACGTTCCCTAAGACAAAACATGTGCACCTCACTTTTGCACTTTTCTTACCCTACTTTATCAATTCCCATGCATTATGAGTTACCACAATGGTCAGGTTGAAGAGAATCAAACTCAAAATTACATTCATCCAAATCCTTTATACATTACTTATTTTATTTTTGTTGACTTGTTGGAATGTTGGATTTCTCAAATTTACGTAGCTGCATATTTATATATTTTTAAAAATAAAATAATACTAGTTCAGATAATGTAAATAGGAAACATAGAAGAACACATGATTCACAGTAACTGGAATCTTTATTCTTTCCACTTTGTGAAGGGCTGAACAAGTAAGTAAGTAATCACACGTGACAAATCTGGACCATTTCGCGCATTTCATGGTACTCATTTTGACATCATGTGCCGTCCATTTACTTCTTTCTCTTTTAAAAAACTAATGCTCCAATCAAATCTTCTTTTCTTTACTTCACTCTTTTCGAATTAAAAAATAAATAAATTACATTCATAGAAGTATAACTTGTTTTCTCTCTCTCATTTGTATGTTTCTTCATAATTACTCAAGATTTTCTTTTATCAGTAAAAATCACAAATGAATTCTTAAGAAAAAAGTTCTATATGCAACACCTTTAAAAAAAAAAATTAAATAAGTTTTTTAATCGCAAATTATCGTATGTAATAAATATGTTAATTTATGCGTTAAGAATGATATTATAGTTTTAGACTTTAAACTCTTATTTTTATTTTATTATTATTTGGAGTTGGCACATGCTTGGAACTTTCTATATATACCCATCAAACACCTTCTCTTATTCCCTTTTCTCTCTCTCTCGACTCTTCCTTTTCCTTTGAATTTTCCGGCGAAATGGAGGCCAAGTTGGGCGGCGGCGTTATGGCGGCGACCTTTGACGACATCAATTGGAACTCCTTAATGTTCGATCACGACATAAACGACGACGTCAAACCGTGCAAGCTCGATCCCTTCACAATCACCTCTGGTCACCTCAACGACGTTTTCCAAAATCTGGTTAGTCCTCTCTTATCACTCTTTCTCACACACTCACTCTTCTTCGCGTTCTTCGTTGCACTCTTCATTAGTTTATTAGAGTTTAGACTTACACACCTTCTTTACAACGCGTCTTTGAGTAACAGAGATCATATAATTTTGTTATTGTAGAGATTGTTTTTCTTTATTTGATGCTGCAAATTAACCTATCTTCACTTTTGTCAGAATTTTTTATCATGTTAATTATTTAGATGAAATCGGAAAACTTAAACAGTTTATACTAAAGTGAATTATTTATCAAAATATCACGTAGAGATGGATTATCATGTTTCGATTCAGGATGAAATATCAATCAAGATATTATTTAAAGTTTAGATTTAACTCTCTTATGACTCTGTGTTTGAAAGATATTTGGGAAAAATTATTACTGATGTAATCTGTTAAGATGTTTACAGAATATAACTATGAAAGTTTTGAACAACATCAAAAAGAAAATGCATATAAAATTGCATCTAACTCTGGTTTGCTTAACAAGATGAAAATAACAAATTTTGATTTTGGTGGAAAGAAAAATGGCGTTGAAAGGATGAAACCTGGAAAACTTAACAAGGAAAAAAGATAATTTATAGACGGTAGTTGAAGTAAAAGCAAATGGAAAAGGTGAAGGCCACGTCAGCAGGAATTGTTTTATGAACATGACATGCTGCTTCTTCATTATTACGAACTTTTCTTCAGAATCAGAACTCGTGGGAACGCATTCTTCAGTTCAGGGTTTGGTTGGGTCTACACAACCTCTTTCTTTTTTTTATTATTAACCCTTTTCTATTATTTCACCTTCATATTATCTAGTCCCGTTAATTTACTTCTATTTTTATTTTATTTTAAATATTTACATACTTATCGTATATTAAAATGGGACAAAATTAATATACTGGGTTACTTTAAAGTAACAAACTTTATTATATTAAGATCAATAATTATTATTCTTACTCATCAAACATTGTATTAGTAAAATTTCTTTCTTTATTAGCATAAAAATTAAATTATTACCTATATATATTTTTGATCGAAGCCCACATATAAGTCACAAATCGCCCCTTTAGATTAAATGATACAATTATGTATAAAACAACACATATTTATCACGAATTATCTAAGGATGATTTCCTCAAGTTTAACAAGAAATTTCCAACTGTTAAATCAAAGTTCATAAAGGTTCAGCGGGATCCAACTTAATTTAATAAGATAATATTTTTAAAATATAATAAATTTATTAATAACAATATTTAAAAAAAACTGCAATAATCACAATAAACTATAACTAAGATTAGAAACATAAATATATTAGAAAATGTAAAATAAATAATTATTATAATAAAATAAAAATATAATAAAATAAAAATTATTTAAAGTTAACATAATTAATGTAAGATAAAAAAATTAAAAATATATTATATCTTTTGATATAATTTTTTTATCAAAACATTTAAAAATTTATTGGTTTTATCTCGATTTTTTTGTTTAATTTAGGTTTAATTAAAGTTTAATTGTTTAAAAAAAATGGATTTACGTAAACCGGCGCTTTGAAGAAAAAGAAGATTAAAAGATGAGAAAATAATTTGATAAATAAATGAGTGGTGTTTTGTTTAGAAGTTATATGAAAAGAATTGCCTTGCCCACTATCCAAATGCATGGGTCCCTTGAAAAGGCTTTGCTTTTGGCTGGTGGAGGTGAAGTGTTTTGTTTCTTCCTTCTATGTATACCTTATCTTTTATGTGCTTTGCTTTCTACCTTTTGCATGTTAAAAAACAATAACAAGAAAAAGGGAAAGATGGACACTCACTCTATTTGACATAAAGAGAGAAAGATGAAACAAATATAAATATATATAATCATATAATGCTTAAAAGATAATATTAAGTAACATGTGGCAAATATGAGCATTTATATACACACTGTTATTTGAAGAAAAGGATGATGATACATAGAGAGTTTATTACTTCAACTTTTCCAATTTGATTGGTAACCATTTGGATGCAATTTTTGGAAGCAAATTACGTGATTTTTGTTCATCCTCGATGCTGTTTCAAACATGCACAAAATAAATGTAGGTGTTAATAATTGCAGGATGCAGTAACTGCATTTTCAACTTGTGGTGGAGTAACAGATGGAACCCTTGTCCACTCCCAAAACCTCACTCCCATCAAATCCACCATCTCCACTATTGATTCTCAGTCTTCAATTTGTGGTACCGGTAATTAATATATACACCATGTTTATATATGCATACAAGAAGTTTTGATCTCGTCCACACACAGTTTTGGTAATGTCTGCACCAAAATTATGCTTTAGTTTATATAAATCTAACTTACCAGATTTTGGATAAATAAAATACATATTTAAGTATTATATATACACAGTATAGCTTACTTTTCTAATTATTCTAATTTTTATCTTGTAAAATATAATTTTCATTATTATTGATTTAATTACAATTTAACCATAATTAAATCAATAAGGGTTGGTACAAAAAAAGTCATTCATAGCAAATATGATTTGTGTTTGTGGGGCACATGATCATGTGTCCTTTTCCATTTCCATATAAAATCTGTCTCCTCTGTAGTGTCAATTATTTGAAGTTCAAATAGTACAACAAACAGTGTTTTTGACAGGGTGTATATTTTTAGTACAGATACAAATAATGGAAGCATTAATATATAGGTGATAGAGAAGATATATACATATACATATACATATATATAGTTGAAGATGAATAGGTTAATGGGGATGTGTATGCAGTTGGGAGTCCAATGTCTGCAAACAAACCAAATGGAAGAGATAATGAAGTGAAAGGGGCGACGACAACAAGTGGTTCCTCGCGTGAGCAATCTGATGAAGATGATGAAGCAGGTCCTTGTGAACAAAGCACAAACGCTATTGACACCAAGCGTCTTAGAAGGTACACTATATATGGAGTTTTACAATGCTTCCTAACATTGAAGACAAACTTTTATCATAAACATTATCATATATGATTCATATATATCCTCATTGCACCTTTACCTGAATATGGTGATCTTAGGAAGGCTTCTAACAGAGAGTCTGCAAGGAGATCCAGAAAAAGAAAACAAGCCCATTTGGCTGACCTGGAGTGGCAAGTAATTTATCAAACAACACTCTTTTCCTCTTTTTTATCACATCATTCATAATATATTTACTTGCTCTATTATGAAATTTGGAATTTGGTTTGTCAGGTTGAACGGCTGAGGCAGGAAAACTCAAACCTATTCAAGCAGCTTAGAGACGCAAGCCAACAATTTTGTGATGCCGATACCAACAACCGAGTGCTAAAATCAGATGTGGAAGCTTTAAGAGCTAAGGTATAATCAGATATCTTGGTTTTTAAATTATATATAAATCTCTTATTTATTTTAAAAATATTACATTGGTACCTCTTTTCATATTAAACTTACTAGTATATATATATATATATATATATATATTATCGTTTAGTTATATTTCCTTTTCATATGAGATTTCCAACACAATGATTTCAACCACACACACACACACACACACACACACATATATATTTACACACACATGGTGATTCAAGTTCTTTCTTGATGTAGGTGAAGTTAGCTGAGGACATGGTGACTAGGGGTACAATGACCTCTTTCAACAACCAGATTCTTCCAAACCAGAGCCAACTAAGCACCCCTCCACCTCTCAACACCAATAATAATCTGCGTCGCATGGCACATGTATCACCAACCATCACTGTGCATGGGAATGATGGTGCTTCATATGGTGGTGGAATCACAGTTAGTGGACAAAACTCACCTCTCGAGCTTGGAAATTTAGATATACCTTGCAGTGATTTCAACAGTGATAATGCTGTGAGCTCTATGACTAGCATGTGGGCTTAGTTAACAGTACCACACCACATATTGTAGTAGTGTCCAGTTCGATCCAACTTTATGTATGCCTTGGCTTATTAGATTAATGTAGGTTAAACTGTGGAAAATATTGCTTTCTACAAAAAACTTTCTACATGTATGAAACCATCTAGATTACTTAGCATATTGTGTGTTCAATGGTTGCTTCTTCATTTGTTTTGGTCCTTTGCTTGTTGTTACATTTAGTTAACAAAAATGAAGTGGGTGATACTACTCACCATATTGGCAGCTACACCATCCAAATTCCATTCAAGTGGCAGAAACACCACATATATGCAGCAGCAATTAATCATGCTTTTTCGTTTCCAATTTTCCTTGAATCTATTTATGTTGTATTTAGAGTGAAGTGAAAAAACTTTGTCTTCTCACTCAAATGGAAGACTAATAACAATTTCTTCCCTACATCATCTTTGTCCAGGAAGACATTCATACATGAATGAAATTAAGATTTCAATTTCACGTGTATCTTTATTTGGTTTCAAATGAATAATTTAATTTTAATTAAAGGGTAGTGTGCCTTAAAAAGATGAATCTGATAAATGATAATTAACCACTGTTGAAGATGGAAAGAAACCACAGAAACAAATGACTTTGTAATGCTTTGTTCGAAAAATATAATAAAGGAGACAGTATAGACATTGTCATAGAAAAGGAATTATTTGATAAAATCAACGTGGGAGACAAATGTGGGGTAGGGTAGGGTTTGGAAAATCCATGGCTATGTACAGTATTTGGTGATTGGAACAACAATAAAATGATCGATGAATGTCAGTGTTTCTACAATTGTTGAGATGTAGATTCTAACTAGATGTTACACTACATTGTAAAAAAATAATAAAAGATAACGTACTTTTTGGTTATATATATGTACTTTTATTAGAAATAAGTTTTTTAAAATTATTTTAAGATTTTTAATGATTTTTTAATAATCGACACTTTAAATTATTATTATTTCTTTTATGTGACATACGTTAATTAATTGTTGTATCATGTATCATACAGTTATAAACAAATTATTCTCGTATATCTTTTTTAGAAAAAAAAGTTTTTGAAAGAATATAAGATAATAAATTATGTTTATTTGTATAATATATATCTTACCTAATTAATTATGATAAAGATTAGATTATTATTCGTTCACATGAAAAAAAGACAAATACTTTTTATTTTCATAAATTCTATCTCTCAATCTATGAGTTTTTTTTTTTTTATTTCTCCTTTTTCTAACTTTTGATATGAAAAAGAAAAAGAAATAAGTGTTAGGAATTATTTGATTTAGTTTTATTTTTTAGCTTTTAAAAATAGTTTTAGAGATTTGAAAAATTACTTTTAAAAATAAGTTAAAAAAACTTATTTTATAAATGTATTTTTTTAAATTATTTTAAATAAAAGAATATGACCTATGTGATAATAAAAAGTGGTAATAAAATTGAAAAATAAATTTGATAATTTTACAAAATAAAAAAGATTAATGATAAGGTTGAGTGAAGTGATATGATGGGATAACAATGATCAATTAATGATAAACTTAAGTGAAAGATTTGACTTGTAATAATTCATATGGAATAGAAATGAAAAAAATAAGATAACATCAATTAAGATTAATAAATTATTATAATAATTTTTAAAAATTAAAATAAAACTCATTAAGCTTGAATTCATTTAATCTGTGGATTAAATTAGTTGAATTCATTTTTATCCGATGAAAATGAAAAAAATCAAACCTAACTTAGATTTATAATGAACTAAATTGAGTTATGATTACATCCCAATAATAACCAATAAATCCACCTTAATTTAGGAAAATCGACACTAATATATCATCTTTCACAATAATTCAAATTATATATCTAATTATGTAAATCACAACTTAACGGACTAAATTGATGTAATCCACGAATGAATTTAAAATTTATTAAATTAAAGTCAAACTATAAAAATATATTTTCTTTCTGTAAGTTGTCTTAAAATATCTAAATTTAGATACAACCAAGAATCATAAATATATATAAATAAAACACATGAAATATGAAATAAGAAATGGATATGAAATCCATTTTAAAAAAATAATATAAATAAAAGACCAGACAATAATCCTTAGTAAAAATGAGATAATCGCAAAAAAGGCAAAAATAAAGAGAAGTTTAGGAATTAAATATCATGAATTATGAAATTCTTTCTTTTTTCAAAAACTCATTACCATTCATCACAAAAATAACTAAAGGAAATAAAATATGGAATAGATTAGAAGATAATGAACATATAATTTGATGAATCTAGAAAAAACGTGAATGAAAAATGTGATTAGGATATAAAATATTAAAGATAAGATTCATATATCTAGAGACAATTCTCTCTTATAAGATTAATTTATCTATTTTAAAAATGACACATGAAAATTTCTAAAATGTTATCTATCTCTCTCTATATATTATTTTATTTTATTTTTTCTTTTCAACATAATCAAATGAAATTTTAACAAGTACTTATATATGTGGTAAGGATATAGGAGTAGAATATATTTAAAAAAACACTTTTAATGATTATGGGTATCATAATATTATGTTATCCGTTAATATTAAAACATCTAAATGCACGTAAATATTCCTATTCGCATATATCCGCTACGTTAATATTATAACATCTAGATGTATTACATTCCACAGTAAGATTTTTTTTTACCAATTAATTCTAATTTTAATAAGAATATTTTGTACCAATTGATAATGATAAGTGACTAAAGTTGTTGATGAGAAAAATCTTAATAATTGAAAATTTGTTTAGAGTTTTATTTTGTAGATTACTATTTTTATTTAAACTTATATTTTATGGTACAAATAAGTGTTTAGTAAATAATTTATTTATTTTAACTTTAGAAGAAGGGTATAAATTAGCAGAGGAAATTTGAGCCCCGAAGTGTAACAATAATTGGTGAATTGCTCGCCTACTGATGACAAAAACCCATTGGATGCAAAATCATGTCCAAGATGAAATTCATCTGACACTGGTGTCTGGTATCATGTCAAATTGCCAATCAAATACTTTCAACAAAGTGTTTCTCCCCAATCATATTTGAACTTTTATTCTGATAACATAATATTTAATAAAATTAAACTATTAAAGTAAAGTTTTAAATTTAACTAGCAACACCACCAATTGTAACTGGATGCAAGTTTTTTATCTTATTGAGATTACACCTTGGGGAGTAGATAATTACAATGTATCGCATATATATGATAATTAATAGAAGAGTCAGGAAAGAAGATGAAACGATTCCCTGTGTATATAATAATCACCAAGGGTTTAAGTAAAAATGAAAATTATACAATAAATTGTGATGGAAAAGGGTTAAAATGAAGCTTCATCCTTAATTAATGATGGGCCTCCCCATATGTGATTGGCCATCCTCTCCCCTATGCTCTACCGCAAATCTCAGGAAATCATCCGGAACAGGAATATTTAACTCTGAACATACAAGATGGACAATTTTTGCGCTGACACCTCCAAAGGACATTTTGTTCAGTGTCACAGCAATAGAGAACTTATTGGTGACATCACAAAACCCTGTGGACCCACCCATTCCCGAGTGACCAAAGGCAATTGATGATCCATCCTTAGAAGTAAACCTCTTAAATCCTAAGCCAAAACCTCCATTTGGCAAAGCTAAATTCTTGTAGTCTCCTGTACCCAAGAATTCATCTATAATCCTAGGATTCCTGTAGACATTATCAGAAGCATGGGTTCTCAGATTCTTATCGATTCCGCCACTACTTGTATCATCACTACTGTTACTTTCTCTGTTAGCATTGCTGCGCTCATCAGCCTCCAAATCATCAAAACTAGAAACCTTTTCATAATTTGCTGTAGTACTACCTGATTTCTTCCGTCCAATGCATTTTCGCTTTTTGGGGGCTTTCCCGGAAGAAGATAATTTGGGGATATGAGGATGGCTTCCAAGTACTGGCTTAGAAGCAGAAGAATGAGGTGGTGGTATCTTGCCACCATCAGCTAGGGCTGCATAATAACGTGCAAGTGCCCGGGCAGATAAATGTCCATTGGCTGCTGGTATGATCGCACGGCGAACATTCAGAGTATTGAAAACAACTGGTAAAGTGGTTGCCATTTGAGCAATTTGCTGTGGTTGGAAGGTAGAGGGAAGGTCAGAACGATTACTGAGTGCTGAGAGGTTGCTTAAATCAGCTGTATCTACAGTCAAAGCTGCAAGACGTGATTCCACACCTAAAAAGATAAGGAATGAAGCATGGTTACAATTTAAAAAAAAAAAATCAAGAGAAATACTATTAGACAGATTCGCTAAGGAAAAAAAAATATTTTTTATTTTTTGTTTACACAAATAATAAAAAGAATGCCATACACAATGAAAGTATAATCAATGAAAATAAGATTTTGTTGTGTCCACGTTATCTATACAAAATATTTGAAAACAAAATAAAAACAAGGTGACATTTTGTAATTAGCTGTAAAAGAGAAAAAATCCTAATACCAAACAGGTCCCAAATTTCTCAACCTCCAATTACTATGGGCTACACAAAATAAAATGAGTTCACAGTATGCACGTCAATGCAATTTTAATTCTTCCGAACAAAAGTATTATTCATCAAAAGTTACCTGGCGGAATCCCTACATATAGCTCCCCTTCAATATGGAGGGGACGAACTATTGCTTCTTCAAGAATCTCCTGAAATTTCTTGCCAGATGCATTCTGTTTTTATCCAAATAAATTATTAGAACATGATATATAGAAACTCTACTGATAGGTAAATTTTACTAGCAACTGTGAAAAATAGTAATTTAAAACCGACTACAACCATGCCAAAATAACTATTTTATATAAAATATAGGCAACATCAAATATGTGCTAAATCATCAACAAATAGGAGAGACATGCCATAAGCATAAACACATAAAAAGAACGTTTAAGGTTCTATGTCCACACTCATACCCACCAACCAATCACCATACATAGCATTTTCCACCATCACACGCATGACAAAAGCACTGAAAGATTTCATTCTTTTACTCTTTATTAAAAAAGGTTCTATTACTATCTTTTGATCAAAATAAAATGATTTATATATATATACAAAACAAAATGATTTATATATATATATATATATATATATATAAAAATAATCCTCTGCTTTAAACCTCAATCGCTCTGAAAGTCAAATGAAACATAGAAATAGAAAATATGTTTTGAACAGGAATAAGAATTATGTAAGAATTGAAATTTTCGATTGACAAGCGCAAGGGCAAGCGTTAATACCTCAATGATTCCACCACACAACCAGCCAAATGATAAATAATGATAAAACTGCTCCTTGCCTGGTTCAGTCTCAGGTACTGACTGACTAATGCAATTTAAACATCCATCCCAATCAAACATTAGAAGAGGGTTTTCTTGAGCTATGTCTCCCATTGCATTGTGCAAACCAGATGTATGGTTCAGCACATGATGAACCTGAAACACGAGATTAAAACTGATACGCCAGTACAAGGCATTAAACCTTGGAAAATTGATGTCAGAAGGAAAAGAAAGAGAAACTGAAAGTCGTTTAGAGAGGCTGTTATGGTTTTTGCAACAAAAATGTTGTGTTTATGGAGATTACATTATCTGAGATTGAGAAGAAACAAATGACAGAGTTATTGCAAGAATATGATGAAGATTTTCAAATTCCACCAAGGTTGCCACCAACTAAAGATAAGGATCATGCCATTCCACTACTTTCTGGCACTACTGCAATTAATGTAAGGCCATAAAGATATGCTCATTGTCAAAACATGAAATACCATTTGTTGGAGGAAATGTTGCATTCAAGAATGATTAGACCCAACACTAGTTCATATTCCAGCCCTATTCTGTTAGAGGAGAAGAATGGAAGTCCGAGGTTTTGTGTAAATTAGCATGCACTCAATAAAGCCACTATTCTAGACAAATATCTCATTCTTGTGATAGAGCAATTGATGGATGAGTTGCTTGGAGTACACTATTTTTCTAAAAATAGACTTGAGATCTAAATATCATGTAATCAAAATGAAGCCTCAAGACATTCCTAAGACAACATTCACAACACATCATGGGTATTATGAATTTTTAGTCGTGCCCTTTTGGCTTGACTAATGCTCCCACTACTTTTCAATTTTTTATAATTAAAAAAGAAGAATCATATCTTTATAATAGCAATATCAAGATCATATTTGTATTATTCTAGGATCATATATTTGTTATTAGAAAATATCAAAGCCTGTAACTCATCTCAGTAATTGCCTATTCTAATAGGTTCGTCTGGTTTGACATGCATATGTGGAGATACAGTGTTGGAAGGTCCTACATCTCCAGCCTCAATTCTTGAAGTGAGACTCATATATTTGTTGATTAACTTCATTAATGTCAATTAATTTTAAGTTGAAATCTAACACTAATCATTTTTAGGTAGGTCAGCAGAATCAGCTACCTCAAGCCACTTCCATTTTAGAAGTTTTGGGATATTTTTCTGTGATGATTTCACATTTGCAGTCCATTTTCCCTACTATTTCCATCTCATATTTGTTATGATGATCCAGCACTTTCTCATTAGAAGCATGGCAAGCCAAATCAAATAACAGCAAGTCTGGATGTTTTTGGCACTTTTCCCCCACCTACTGCACCTAAGAAATTGTTGGGTCAAGGTCTAAAGGATCATCTGTTGAGAAGTGGCGCAAATTTCATTGTGCAATTGTTGATCCCCAGTGCAGCAAACAGACCTAAAATTACAGGTCCGATCCCCTTTAACCTGGTCATTAAAAACCCCTAAATCCCCTTATCTTTTTCGTATGCAAATGCGATTCACTCTCCCACTTATCAATCCTTCTGCAACCCTAGTTTCTCTCTCTCCAGATGACATAAGTAATGTTAAATCCTCTTAAAATCCCCTCACTGTCTTATAAAGAAAGTATTAAATGAAAGTAAATACATTTCTTGTTTTGGAAATAGAAAGCACATTCAATACTTACCATAAAAGGAAGGAGTATTTAGCATTATTGATTCTCACTAAAGTCCCTTGGGGATCCTGCATTCTATGTTTATTTGCAATAAGGTTGGTGCATATAATTTGTATGTTTTATCTTAAGGGAAACTGTTAATGTATTTGCATTAGGTTTATAGAATGTATGGTTGTGCTGCCAATTGCCCACATACTAGAATATATACACGATTCCATGTACCCTTTCTCATTAGAAAATTAGATAATACTTTTTCTACAACATCTCTCTCTTGTTTCTCTCTCTCATTTCAGCATCTCATTATCATAAAAAATTATAGCTAAAGAACTTCAGTTGGTAGAAAATTCAATAAAAGACCTTAATGACATCCTTCCCATTTGATCCAAATGCTGGCCATATATTTGCTACATTCTCTTCTAGCTTTAGTTGTCTGCGAGATAATAAGCAAGCAGACACTTATTTCAGGTTTAAAGTACAGAACAAGAGTATATGATGTTACAATGTTAAAGAATGTACGGAAGTATGATTTTAAACTTTCAATGGCAATTTACAAACATGAATCTTAATTAAATCAAAGAATACATTTCTGACTAGCAAAACTGGCTCTAAGATCGGAACTTTGATAGTATTTAAAACTTAATACAAGGAATCTGAGATTTACATACAACACTAGATTTCATAGTTATCAATCTTGCTCAAATAATTAAAACATGCAAAAAGACAGTCAAACAATATGGAGAAAATCATAAATGTAATCACATAAATATCAATCCAACAGATGATTAAAATTTAGATGAATGCATAAATTCAGTCATAGCACAAGTCAAAGATTATTTAAGCGTTCATTGAAATCCGCATATAGGTCGAATTAGTTCCAGAGGAAAAAATAACATGCTGAGATGTGAGTGAATTAATAAAATGGTTAGGGATAGGAATGTAAAGAGAGGGTTTACTATTCCAAGCCTATTTTTATGAACTTTAGTGTTATGCATTTATTTTTCCGCTTGTACGTATGTGCGGTATAATTTATGTTGTATATCTTAAATTTCAAAATAGCACAGTCATACTGCTGTCCGATTGACTACTATGCTGAGTGCAGATTGTACAGCAAATGATCTTTTAACGTGGTTCTCAAATAGATTGGACTATGTTGCTTCATTAATGTTTTAGTTTTTTCTTTGTTTTGTGTTTAAGCTTAAGTGGTGGAGGACTCATCATCAAAATTTATTGTAATTTCTTCTTTCATCAAAAGCAAAAAAAAAAAAAAAAAAAAATATATATAAATACCAAATGACAATCCACCAAGCTTATTTTACATATTCTCTGAAATTGAACACTCAAAATAGGCGCCAGAACATTTCATGCAAAAAAGCTATACATTCTGCTGCGACCATGAACATTTCATTCAAGGAGTAAAGCAAAGCACTAGAAGCTAATATTGATGATATTAATAGGAAGATCATTTGGAGGTAAATATCAAAGCAACAACTGCGAATACGATATCTTGGTATTAACCATTAGACAAATGTCAGTTTAGTAGTCAATAGCATGTAATTCCCTCTAACTATGTGAAATCAAAACTTTATATTCCAACAAACAAGAAAATAGCATCCAATTAGAAATTCACAAACTATATGGTCATGGAATTTTACAACATACCCTTTGTCAACCATCCAATGTATCATTCCTGCTGTGATACCCTTTGTAACAGAGAACACGGGAAAAAGACTATCAGGCTTAACCGGACGTGGATCATATTTACCAAGCACTCCTGCAGCGGTGTCAATAATGACCTCTCCATCTTTGTAGGCACATACCTTTAATAGATAATGCAGAATTAATTAATTGAACAGATACTTGAGCTACTTGATTGACTCATGACATCAAGTGCAACAACAACAATAAGATACAAGAATGTGAACCCCTCAATTATGTTTAGAACAAAATGGAATATTTGGCTCAACAACAGTAGTAGATCGATCCAGTAATTCAAGGCAATGCAAAGATAGATCCCATTAATTATGGACTCTCACATCAATATATAATAAGTATACATAAGATTTGAGGCAGGGAAGAATATTTGAGAGAATAAAAATGAATTTGTAAGTAAGATGATTGAGCGAAATTACTTGAGTGAAAAAAGCTCAGCCAAGGGAAATTAAATGCAGGATGATTACAAAGGATCAAACAAGGAGGCAATTTACAAGAGAAAATAATTAAGCTAATTTCACTTTTTAAGCAGCAAAGTATGCTTTCGGAAAATGGAAGAATTATTATCACGTGCTCCCAACTCCCAAAATTATAAATGCTAAGATACAGTCCAAATTCAGTTCCCTAAAAATATGGCTTTTTTTGGTTTTAGTCCCCTTATTTAAAAAAAAAAAAAACAAAAAAAAAAGTGCTTTTAGTCACTATTAATATGATATTGAGGGACTAAAAACATAGATTTTGTTAAAAGTAAGGATTGAGTTATTGATTGGAAACCCAAAATTGCATTTTATTTTCATGTTTGATAGAATAGTCTTGAGAATTGTACTTGTGAAGTCATCTAGTTGTAATTTTGTTATCTATTTAGATCTTATTCAGTAATATATTAGATATTATCTCAGATCATATCCCTTTGTTCATTGCTCAACATGAGAAGAGCGCCTTCCTATTCTTCTCCAAGTTCAATAAAACAGATTTTCAATATTCTCAGTTTCTCTATATACAATTCCAACATATATCTATTCTATAAGCCTATAACATTCTTTAATTATTGATTTAAATAAATATCAGTACACTCCAATCTCTGGTATTATGTAGATAAGCTACCTGGTGTATGAACTACACAACAGAATTTGAAATATCGTATGGACTACACAATAGAGTTAATTTTATAAGCTGATAACAATAAACCAATGATATGATTTCTATAAATCATATTCTAATAATTCTAATTCTAATCAGATATTGCTATAATTACAAAGCTCATAATGCAAACTCAAGCTTTATTAAGTCAGAAACTAAAGTAACTGGCAATTATATATTACAATCTCAACTCTCAGTGACTAAAATGGATGCTTAATCATTTAGGAATGTTAGGAATTTATGGTTCTAAATAAACTAGGAAGGTAAAATACTATAATTAAGAGAATGATTAATCAATCTTGTGTTATGGGATTTACCTTCCTCTTTTTCTCTTTTCTTTGTTATGGGATTCAAATTCCCTATGATAAAGGGATTCATCTCTGTTATAAATAAATTCAGATATTATCTTAGAGTATTTTGGAGTAGCTTATATGATCTATTAGGATTTATTCTTCTTTTATATTTTGATCTATTTCCTTATTTAATTAGAACCTTTATAATTAAAGGAAATATCTTATTAGAATCAGATTAATTAGAATATGATTTATATGCATATCATATCATGTATATAATGTCTTATAATTATTTGTATTTATTGTCATCAGTCTAAATAAAATGAACTCTGTTGTGAAGTCCATACACAATTTTCAGCATCTCTCAATTTTATTTTTCTCTCTTTCAACAGTCTCCCTGTGTTTTCCTATTTAAGTCGTACTTGTCATCTGTTACCATTAAATCAATAAAGAAAAACAAGTGCACCTGGATTCCAAGTATTTTATCTTTATTTCCCATCTCAATTAAAAGCTGCCTCAGTTTGGATTCTACATCAGAATGAACTGGTGAATCAAAAATCCATCTGTCATTTACTGATGGTCCTCGACTAATATACCTGACAATCATACCTCAGTTAAGCCACAAATGAAACAAGCATGTAATAAATACCAATCAGACAAAATTTCAAAAGACTCACCCACTCAAAACTGACTCTGCAAATGGCCTCATAATATCCATATATACTATTCGTACATTCATGGTAGAAGAAAGCCCTACATCGACATCAAGTTAGTAAAATAAGACATGGGGAACAAATAAGCATTACAATGGTATCATAGTGGAAAACAGCAGACCTCTTAGAAGATTAAGAACTCTTCCAAATATTACAATATCACCAGGAAATGCATCAACCTGGAAATATTTTTAAAAGCATAATCATTTTATCTAAAATACAATCGGTAACAAAATTTTGGAACAGGTGGAAATGCAATCAGAACTCACAGGATTAAAGCGTTTCATTTCCTTTTTGTCAAGGTTCATTTTCTGCTGTATAACCTTCATATTTCTATCCCTTTGGTCGGATAGGGATTTCATTGTTTTCTTAGTAACGAAAAAATACACCATAATTAGGGAGAAGTTAGATATCTGAAAACCAAGGTATACTTCAGGAGCAGAAGGCATACTTACATGGTATTCATTTGCCGGTGTTGTGGCACGAAAGAATACAGTAGTTACTTCCATTGCCTGCTCTGGTATGTCCAGTCGCAACTTAAGCCCCATTTCTGCAAATGCAGATAGAAGGGCCACATGGTCGCCCTTTAACAAAAAGCTTGCATATTAAGACATTATTTAGAAAAAGACCATTTGAAGCAATTAAACAAAACTTGTACAACTATCAACAATCCAATAAAAACTATAATACAAAAAAAGTAAGAAAAAAAAAATTATTTAAGTAAAGATGAAGAGGACACATTAAAAGTATTTGTTCCTGAATCCTATAGACACTAGTATTGTGAACATTTTGCCATGACTGCATCAGCACAGAACCACCCTTACCCAATCAAACAGCTTATTTTGCTAGGTGTGGTTGGGAAAATGGCATTTGCATCTCTAATAATACCTTTAGAAGCCAACTTGTTGTGGGAACAAATTACTGTTTAAAAGCCTCCATTATGTTCTGCTCAACTTATCATCGGAAAAATGCAGTAAATGGAAGTCATGAAGATGAAAGCGAAGCCAATTTGTGAGAGTGTGGCTTTAACACCATATCAAATATATCAACCAAAAATGTGAAGCTAAATACTTACAGATGAAAACCAAATAAGCTTATATAAAACCATTATGACTTAATATAACTAAACTAAGCAACCAAAAAACTTCACCAACACACACTCCCCCAAACTTTGGCCTGATAAATAGCACTCCCCTCTAAAGCCAAAGATGGGATGGGCTAGCTAATCAAGTCACTTCACAATAAGAAGGGGGATGAATGGGAAACAGGTAGCTGGCATCCAATCAAGCCCACCACAAGGAATCAAACAATCTTCACCAGAAAATTACAAGTATAACCACTAGATAGACAATACATATGATATTGTCGGTACCCATATAAAAATGAAAGCACTAAAGCCAGCACCAACCTCAGCAGATGCCAAAAACATCTTCGCAAGTGCTTGCTTTATGGTGCTTGATAGTTTCTTTGTAAGCCCAAAGTCAAGTAAAATGGGACGATGAGGAGATTCCTTGCTCACAAGAAAATTTCCTATAATAGAGCCAAAAAGTTCACAGGCACATGGAATCATCAGATGTGTATGGTACAGAATGCTTTTGTAAAGTTTCTACAAAAAATTGAAAATTCCATACATGTGTACATCATTTGCACAAGCACAAACATAGGGGGGAAGAGAGAGTACCTGGATGTGGATCACCATTGAAAAACCCATCAACATATATTTGGTGGGCATAGGCACGAGTAATCTCCTCAACAAGCTTTTGTTTATTTACTCCAAAAGCTTCTAGTGATTCTAAATCATTCAACCGAATGCCATCCATGTACTCCAAAACAAGGACTTTTTCTGTAGACTATCATCGGAAGCAACCAGATTTTATAAATAGGAAAAAATTATGGAAAGTAGATAAATGAATAAGAATAAACAGGAAGCACATTTCATTTTGGTCCCCTCACAAACTTAAGATACCAACACTTATCAACCTACTGAAAGTTTGCACTAAACATGATATAAGAACATATTAATATGCTAACCAGCATATAATTATGAAGAAAAACTCTCTTTTTTTTTTAACTTTTGGTATGGAACATTGTAGGGAAATATGTAAAATTCAGGTTACATCTATTCCCACATAGATTTATGTAAATTTGTTAATGTCTAACTAGGTCACATGACATTGAACGGCAAAGTGTTTCTATGATGGCTGATTTGTAATATCTTCATTGCATTTGATTATTTCAATCTAATATTTTATGGATAGGAAATGAATATACCTGAATTACATCTGGTATCAAAACATCCACTCTATTGCCACTCATATTTCCATCATATCGGTTTCTGCAACCAAGATTTTTAGCCACCGTTCTAGTGTTTTCTACAGAAACAAATGTGTTAAGTGAGAAATACACTTTAAGTGAACCGGGGGAAAATGAATTCAAGCAAAGACTGATTGCTAAGATGAGTCTACAAGTGAATGCTAAAATCACCAGATACACACACACCACCACCATCACCCCCTGAAAAATAATAAAAAAGCAGATAGAGCAAACAAGAGAAGAAGCCATCATAAAAGCGGGAATTATGGAAAATTTGTTTGTATTGGATATGTTGATTTTGGAATCTCTTGGTATTTGAGCTAATGACCTTACTCAATCCTATTAAACTGACATGTAAGATGAGGTGTGAGAACTGTAACAAAACTTATAAATTAAGCACTCTTTGGCCATATCTCTGGGCCAACCTCTTTTTTCGGTTTCTGCCAGCTGTCTCTCATCTTTAATTCTATTTATTAGTTGTAAGACATATATCTCAATGATAGTTATAACTTTCACAGTAGCCATCTTGTAGGTTTCAAGCTTCTGCATTAGAAATATACAAATGTACGCAAAAGTTCTGCCTTGTACAATTGATAAATTCAAAAATACAAGTTTTCTCTTTCTCTCTTCCAATACAAATTAATAAAACTAATTCTTAGAACTTGGACCTAGGACCTAACTATCCCACCAAAAGTTTCTATGGTGAGGACTTCCCAAGCTTTATATTTCATTTAAATCGCATCTAAAGTCAATATGAGACTAAACGCCACCATTGAAGCTACAATTAAGGTAGACACCAAAGAAGACACAGCTAAGGTGGACTAGGGGTGACCACAATTAAGGCAGTTTTCCAACACTTACCCTCATTCCTAAGGCTTCGAACTAGACCACAGCAATGCAGATGACCCAATAATAGATCCAAAATAGGATCTTACACCATCTTAGAATTTGAGCTTAGGTTCTAACTCAATGCCATAAAATTGAATTGTAAGTTGAGGATTGTATAAGTTCTATCGAAACCATATCTCTTTAGTAAATGTGGAACTAAATACCACCCTTGAGACTGCAACTAAGGCAGTTCCTAAAGTGGTCTCAACTAAAATAGGTAGGAGTGACCACAATTAAGGTGGTTTTCAAAATACAATACTTGTCAAAACAAAATAAGCCATCAATAACTAGAACTTGTTAATGTCTCAACAAGAAAGCTCTTGGGAAAGTCTGTGCTAAACACAAAAGCTTCTTGAAATACCCCAAGAACAAAATACACCAAAGATATTCTCAGACATAAATTTAGATCTATTGCATCAAATCAAATTCAAACTATAGGAAAGATCAGAAAATACCAGCTTCATGATTGAAGTCAAGTTCCTTAGGAGCTTCTTTGCACCATTCATCAATCATAGGGTTAAAGTTATATCGTGGCTCAGCCCATGCAATCCAGTCAACAATTGACTTTGCATTTTTTAAGTCCTGAAAAAACATGTAGACACAAAATCTTTTGAAAGGCTCCATTGACCTCTTTATGCATACATCCCAAGGGATACAAGAAACAAACCTCCAGTATAACTGTCTTGATACCATCATGTTGAACTTTAACTACCACTTCCTGTCCATTGAGCAGAGTCGCACGATGCACTTGTGCTATCTGCATAAACCGTATTGCTTGGATACAATTCACTCAACTCAATTAAGGAAAACAATTAACATATAAATATTTTTATATCTGTTATATAATCATCTTCGAGTAACAAAAATATCCTTAAGTTCTTACTGATGCCGTCGCCAAAGGTTCGTTGACAAAATCAGCAAATAACTCATCCATTGATTTCCCCAACTCTTTCTGTATGGTGCCATAGACCTTGCATATATATACTAAATTCAGAAGTCTAGAAGCAGTAGTAACTCAAGAAATAAACTATAAAGTAGATTAGCAAATGAGGCCCTTATTCCTGTTCAAAGACTATGAACTACCAACTGTTCCATTTTCATCAGCAACGTGATAATATCACAGCCAACATATGTACAAAAAGCCAAAAAACTTTGAATTCTTATAGTACCCATTTAATGAACAAAAGTCATCTCCATTACTCAAAAATTGCAGGATTTTTTTATTAAAACTATACAATGTGTATATGTTTCCTAAATGCATTTTTATCTTTGATAACGTAAACTAAGATCATTTTAAATAAAAATATTTGAAGAAAAACCTCTTCTAAGGGTCGAGGAGGAAGAGAGTCTTGTAACTGCTTCAAAAGACGTATATAAGCAGCAGGAAGCACATCTGCCCGGGTTGACATGTATTGCCCAAGTTTAACCCATAGGCCTTCCATCTCTATTATCAAATTTAGAACACGCTTAGCATTACGCTCGTGAGCCTTCTCCCACAATGCATCTTGTTTAGATTTGCTAGTCCATTTATCTCGTTGTTGTATACCCTATAGAGATCAATTGAAGAGAGTAAAAGTTCAATTAGAGAAAAAAAAAAAAAATGGGTAACCTGTGGCCATTGTAAAGACTCACCTTATAATCTAGGTATATTACTATGGCCATTGTAAATACTCTAACTCGTCTTCTGTAAATATCTCCCCACCCCATTCTTGCAGGCAAGCTACAACAGAATGAAGGATACCTTTAAGGCAAAATATACAAGAAGAATCACAGGATAAAAGACTTATTGAACCTGGGTTCGAAAATAAAAAATATATGTGCAGATCCACAAAATAATATAATATCAAAATAAATAGATTGATCGTTGTTCTCAAGAAGGTTTCACAGCAATGAACAAGCGGAAACTTGAATAAATCATCATTCAGTAAAATGCTGAGCTTCTCACTCTCTACATACAAGATATTCACTCAACAACATCAGAGTCCACGAATACAATCAAACTTGGTCACTGACGCATAATTTAGTGTAGTTAAATAGCGTAGTATATGCGTAAAACATTCAATCCCCGGCGCTGTTTTCAGCTACAGTCACTAATATACATGGACTTCTTCCCAGAAAATTTTCAAAAATAACCGAAAAATTTAACCTGTCGGCATGAATATCTCCACTGCAAGAGGGACATTTCTTAAACCCAAGTAAATTTTCATCCCAAAATTTTGGTTCATTTCTTAAACCCAAAGTGAAGGTTTCATCCCAAAATTGAACAACCCCTTCCAACAATAATTAAATAACTATAAATAGTTGTGGATGACAACAGTAAGAATAAGAAAATAATAATAGTAATCTTGTACAAGGCAGAACCGACATTTCACTCGTATATATTCAATAAACCGTGTATCAATCCATCATCGACGGTTACATTCCAAACGACATTCGGGAAAATATCGAAATTCAGGCGAAATTGGGAACATCCGCTACCGTTATAGCGAACAATAAACAGAGAGAATTGAATTGATGAGTGAGAACTAAAACGCATCGAAAGAAAAAACGGAAACAGAGTTGATGATGAAGAGTTGCGATGTTATTTCGATGAAATCAGAGGAAAAAGGTGGTGAGGTTATTACCTTGGAAGGATGAAGGGAAGGAGGGAGCGCTAACTAACTTCGTCGACGGGAAAGTGTGTTGTGTTCAGTATGATGTGTGGGAATGAGGTAGCAGTTCTGGAAATTAATTAAATACGGTTTAAATATATTTTTAAGAAGCCTTCACGGATTTCTTTCGTAAGAGTATATGAAGAATTTCAGAAAACCCTTCGTTTTCAGACAAAATTATTTACTTGTTATTCTTATGTTAAGAAGGTGGAATATTATTTTCTAATAATCTCACTGTAACTTATTTTTACTTTAAATTAATCCTAATTATAATATCAGAAGTTAACCTATACATTTATATAAAATAACATTTCTAATAGAAATGTGATTCTCGAAAATATATAAACACAATATAGCTAAATATAGTTAAATAGTAATCAAATCATATAACGGTTTTGTTTTCTGTTTTTACCGTTTGACAGTATAAATATCTTGTATTCATTTCTTTGTGATATATGAGAAAAGTCAATCTCTTGTTTTCTCTATCTCCGTATTCCTCTGGTTTTTCTTTACTGCTGAAGGTGTGTCCCTGTTCTAACAAATTGGTATATTTTCTTTCTTTACGTAAAACTGTTCTTTACGTAAAATTATTTACGTAAAACTATTTACGTAAAACTGTTGTGCCAAGAGTGGTATCATAGAGCTAGGTTCGGAGGGGCCAAGCAAGTTGAAAGGTGGTGCGTCGGAACATTCAGAGAAGTGTTCTCATGGCTGTTACGGGAATACCAGGAAGTCTTCCTATCTTTGATGGGAAAGATTATGATGACTGGTGTGTCAAAATGGATGCAATTCTTGGATATCAAGATGTTGATGAGATTGTTAAGAATGGGTTTAAAGAACCTATCAAGAATGCAAGTGATGAACAGAAAGCGATGTTCAGAGAAAACAAGAGAATGGACTGTAAAGCAAGGGTTCTGCTGCATCAATGTGTATCTCCAAGTATATTTCAAAAAATTTCGAAAGCCACCACATCGAAGGAGATCTGGGATATATTAAGCAATGGATATGGTAATTCTGGAAAAATAAAAAAGGTGAAGCTTCAATCACTAAGAAGACAATATGAATTACTTTCAATGACAGAGCAAGAATCTGTGGCAGAGTATTTTAATAAATTGCAAGTGGTGACTAATGTTATGCGGGCTTGTGATGAGAAGATAGAAGATTCAAAGATTGTAGAGAAAGTGTTGCGAACGTTGAACCCTCGCTTTGATCACATTGTGGTTGCTATTGAAGAGTCAAAAAATCTTGAAGACATGACGGTAGAGGAACTTCAAAATTCCTTGGAAGCACATGAGCAACGAATTGTTGAAAGAAGAAATGTTGAAAGAACCACTGATCAAGCTCTTCAAGCCAGAGCCAATCAACAGCGAAATAGAGGACGTGGTGGAAAGTATTCACGTGGAAGATCTAAGGAGGGAAGAGGTAGAGGCAGACATATAGAGTGGTCTGAAAATTCTAATGACAGCAACTCTGAACAGAAGAATAATCAGGCACAAAGAGGTGGAAGACAATATAGAGGAAGAGGTAGGAGAAATCTTGACAAAAGAAAAGTTCAATGTTACAATTGTGACAAGTTTGGTCACTATGCAGCAGAGTGTTGGCATAACAATGGTGTTACGAACAAGAAAGACAAGAAGAGTGATGAAGCGCATTTGGCCCAAGATGAGGACAGTTCTGATTCGGATCAAGTATTACTAATGGTTACTACAAACAGTGATAATGATATGTCTTCGTGGTATCTTGACACTGGTTGTTCGAACCATATGACAGGAAATAGAGATTGGCTAATTGATCTTGATTCAACGGTGAAAAGCAGCGTCAGATTTGCAGATAATAGCACCATCACAGCAGAGGGAATTGGCAAGGTTGTGATCACACGAAAGGATGGTAAGACAGCATACATGCATGATGTGTTGTTCGTTCCCTCAATGCAGCACAATTTACTGAGTCTAGGGCAGTTACTTGAAAAGGGTTATTCTATGATTATGCAGCAGAATCACATTGAAGTCTATGACTCTAGCCAAAGGTTATTACTGAAAGCGCCTTTATCAAGAAATAGAACATTCAAAATTAATCTTGATGCTACTGCAATTCAATGCTTGTCTTCTATAAATGTTGAAGAAGAGAGTTGGCTTTGGCATTTTAGATTTGGGCACTTAAACTTTAAAAGCCTAAACTTGTTAAGTAGTGAAAAAATGGTAAAAGGGTTGCCATTGGTACATCACCCGCAGAAGACGTGTGAATGTTGTTTGATTGGGAAACAACCAAGGAAGAAATTCAAGGTTACTACACTAAAAAGAGCAAAATATCCTCTTAATGTTGTCCATTCAGATGTCTGTGGCCCGTTTGAAACACCTTCTCTAGGAGGTAATAAATACTTCCTAACTTTTGTTGATGAATACACTAGGAAAGTGTGGCTGTATCTGATAAAAGAGAAGAAAGAGGTATTTTCTGTGTTTGTTAAATGGCTTGCTAAAGCTGAGAGGCAGTCTGGTTGTAGTTTGAAGATTTTCAGAACTGATGGTGGAGGAGAGTTTAATTCCAATGAGATGAATGAGTTCTGCGAATTAAAAGGGGTTGAGCATGAGATCACAGCCCCCTATACACCCCAACATAATGGCCTGGCGGAAAGGAGAAACAGTAACTTTACTTGATATGACTAGATGCATGATGAAAGGTAAAGGATTACCAAACCTGTTTTGGGGAGAAGTCTGTAACCACAACTCGCCTTTATACTAAACAGGAGTCCAACAAAGAAGATGAAGAATGTTACACCCGAAGAGGCATGGTCTCGGACATAAACCTATGGTGCACCACTTTCGAATATTTGGTTCTATCTCATCACGGACACATACCGGATGAAAAGAGGAAGAAACTAGATGATAAGAGTGAAACCTTGATTCTGATGGGATATCATCCAACTGGTGCATACAAATTGTTCAATCCTGCTTTGAATCAAGTGATCATAAGTAGAGATGTAGTGGTGGATGAAGCTGCAAAATGGAATTGGGAGAGTCAACCAAGTTCACGGAAAATACCGTGTTTTCTAGAAGAGAAAGAAAAAAATTATAATGGCGTCGATGTAGTTAAATTGCCTCAGCTGTCGGAAAATCTCAAAGGATCGGATTCCCTTCTACCCGATTAACTCGATCATGAATTACTCGGTGATAATGAAATCAACAATGATGGAGAGTTGGTGCACTTTGCTTTTTTCATTGATTCAGAACCTGTAAGCTGGAAAGAAGCAATTGATGTTAAAGAGTGGAAAAATGCTATGATTGAAGAGCTTGAAGCCATAGAAAGAAACAGAACATGGAAGCTGGTAGATCTTCCGAAAGACAAACATCCTATTGATGTGAAATGGGTGTTTAAACTAAAGCTTAAAACTGATGGAACAGTGGCCAAACACAAAGCCAGGTTGGTAGCAAAAGGCTTTCTGCAGAAACCAGGCGTTGACTTCACGGATGTATTTGCTCCTGTTGCAAGGCTTGAAACTGTGAGACTTGTTGTGGCTGTTGCTAGCTGGAGAAGTTGGACTATATGCCAACTTGATGTTAAATCTGCTTTTCTTAATGGACCATTGGAAGAAGAAGTGTATGTGAGGCAACCACCAGGATTTGAAAAGGTTGGAAGTGAACATCAAGTCTACAGACTCAATAAGGCCTTATACGGTCTTAAACAAGCTCCTAGAGCTTGGAACAAGGTGATTGATGCATTCCTACATAAACAAGGTTTTGTGAAGAGTTCAGTTGAGTATGGCTTGTATATAAAAGAATCAAAACGTGAAGGTGTGTTGCTGATTTGTCTCTATGTAGATGACTTGCTTGTAACAGGAGATAAACAACATGAAATTGAGAAGTTCAAATCAGAGATGAAAGCTACATTTGATATGACAGATTTAGGTATTCTCAACTATTTTTTGGGTCTTGAATTTATTCATACATCACATGGGATTCTGATGCATCAAAAGAAGTATGCGAATGAGATTTTAAAGAAGTTCAACATGTCAGAATGTAATCCAGTACCTATACCAGTCATGGTAAATTTAAGGTTGACTGAAGAAATTGAAGAAGAAGAAGTTGATGCAGTGCTGTATAGACAAATCACTGGATCATTAAGATACTTATGCAACAGAGAGCCGGATATATGTTACGGTGTTGGGTTAATTAGCGGGTTCATGAACAGTCCAAGATTATCACACATGGCGGCAGACAAAACATATACTAAGGTATATAAAAGGAACAACTAGCCTTGGGTTGTTCTTCCGAAAAGGTCTGCAGAACACGGTGAAGATGAAAACGTGTTGGAAGCTTGGTCGATTCTGATCTGGTGTGGTGATAAGGTAGAAAGGAAGAGTACTTACGGTTATTTGTTCAAATTTATGAATGCACCAGTTTCTTGGTGTTCTAAGAAACAAAACGTGGTGGCACTCTCTTCATGTGAAGCTGAGTATATTGCTGCTGCAGAAGCTACATGTCAGTGCTTGTGGATGGAGAATTTGCTAAATGAATTGAAGATGGAATACGTGAAGCCTATACAACTGTTTGTAGACAACAAATCTGCTATATGTTTGTCTAAGAACCCTGTTTTCCATGGTAGGAGTAAACACATTGAAACCAAATTCCATTTCCTGAGAGACCAAGTGAGTAGAGGAAGAATTGAGTTGATACATTGCAGTACTGAGGATCAAGTGGCTGATGGCTTTACCAAGTCACTTAATCGTCAGAGATTTGAGAAGCTTAGAGAGCTTATGGGACTTATGTGTATAGATTCTTTGATTAGGAGGAAGTGTTAAATAGTAATCAAATCATATAACGGTTTTGTTTTCTGTTTTTACCGTTTGACAGTATAAATACCTTGTATTCATTTCTTTGTGATATATGAGAAAAGTCAATCTCTTGTTTTCTCTATCTCCATATTCCTCTGATTTTTCTTTACTGCTGAAGGTGTGTCCCTGTTCTAACAAATTGGTATATTTTCTTTCTTTACGTAAAACTGTTCTTTACGTAAAACTATTTACGTAAAACTGTTGTGCCAAGAATTTTTACTTTAAATTAATCCTAATTATAATATCAGAAGTTAACCTATACATTTATATAAAATAACATTTCTAATAGAAATGTGATTCTCGAAAATATATAAACACAATATAGCTAAATATAATCCTTTAAAATTTTAGTATTTTTTTATCTATATATAATAAAATATTTAACTTATATAATTAACAATTACAAACTATTTATACAACAACCTATTGTGATCTTGTATTTTGTATCAAATATTCAATCTTTTTATTTTCATTTTAAAATAATTATTTTGATAATATTAAATATAAGATGTTAGAAGAACAATATATGAGTATAATTAAAATTACAGAAACTAAAAATAAAAGTTAAAAACAATAGTAAAGGAAGAGACGGTGTTTGGGAAAAGTGAAACGACGTACGTCAATGTCGTATACAGGGTTTGGAATTTTCGTAAATCGTTTGCTTGTTAACAAAGAAAAGCGTAGGAGGCTTCCTCAACCGAAGTGTGGAAAATCCATCGCCTTTTCCCTTTTTCATACTTTAGCTTAGCTCACAGAATTGGACTTTACGGCGCGTTTTAGGTGAACATCATACACGTGTCATTTTCTGGACCATGTCATTCTTATTTTTTTCTCCTTAAAAATTAAACACAGAAAGAAAAGTCAATTAAAAGATAATTTATTCTTAAGAACAATTAATCCTTAATAATAATGTTTACTTAGCTCCTCTTCTCAATCATATTTTTATTAATAAAACTCAAATTGAAAATCTTATTTAAAAATATCAAATTTAATACGAGTAACCAACGACTTGTTGCTATACAGTATAATTTTGTATAAACTATAATATAATACATACTTTTCAATTTCATATTTTAAAAAGTTAAATTAATTTTAAAACATTGCAAAATTAAAATAATTTAAGTTATCAAAATAATCTAATTAAAAAGTATATTATCACTTTATGTTGCTTAATTTTATGTCTCGTCTTTTCAAGATTTTTTTTTCTGAAAACATATTTAAAATTTAATAATATTTTACATTTAAAATATAAAAACTATAGTTTATTATTATTTTTTTATAAATCACAAACATTTAGTAAAAGAAGTCATGATTTCAGATTTTGTAGACCATAGATATTTTTCAACGGTTGAATTCAATTTTGGTTGCAATTTTAGAATATTTTTCAACAGTTGAATTCAACGTTGGTCTCAATTTTAGCTGACCAATCCATATATCTATACCTATGCCTCTCCCTATATTATAAAGAAAATATACATTTTTTATTTTATATTTTTACATTAAATTATTTTATTATTTATCAAATAAAAATGTTTCATTATTTTATAATCACATTATCTCTGATTGTAAAAATAGTTGTATAACCTCTTCACTAAAATTAATTTCAAAAAATTCAGAAATGAATATAATTTTTATATTTTTTTTCACAATTTTTATATATAAACATTCTAGAATACTTCAACAAAAATAAATTCTAATGGTTGAAACTTTGTGATGCAAATTTGAATTATATGCATGTGTTCTGTCTTAATCAATTCCTTCCATCTTTGTATCGATCATTATAAGTCAACGAGAAATTTAATGTGCATATAGTTCTTGTAATAATAATTTTATCTTTTAAATATACATATGTCTTTATATGTTTTTTTTAATTTTGATTTTCATATTTAAAAATTATTAATTAATCTTTCAGTTTATGAATATATGTGTTTTCTTACATTTATATTTATCATTTAATGATTATTTTTAATTTAACAGAATCAATAAAATGATTAAATATAATTTGAATATTTCAATATATTTAAATTTAATATTTAACAAATATTAAAAAATGCAAAATTGACAAAATGAATAAATTTACATGTTTCTAAAGTTTGAAAACTAATTAATTAATTCTTAAATATAAAAATAAAAATTAATTTTTACTAAAAATAAAAAAAGAATAAAGCATAGTTTTTTTATTAAAAAGATAAAAATGTTAAAAATATTAATTAATTTCTTTAATAGTTAAAATTATATTATTATAAATTGGAATATAATTTTGTTAAAATTATATAAGATAATTTTTACACATTAATTAACTTATATATCAAGTATTTTTAAATTTTATTAAAAAATAATTAAAAATTTTATTTTTATTCTTTTTATATATAAAAAAAGTCAAATTATTTTTTATAAACAATATTATGTATAATTCATTATTGTGAATCACTAAACTATATGGAGAAAGCTACAGGGGAAATTCTTTGATTACTTCTCCATGTTCTAAAAAGCATTAAAAAATGAAAATGATTTTTGGATCACCACGATGAAAAGTGGTTACAAAAGACCTGAGAAAACAGAAAATTTAAAAGGTTTTAAGATGATAATGTAATTTACTTAAAGTTCATTGGATAATTATTTACCAAAAATATTCTTTAACAAAGGAATCATTCAGTTTTTTAAAGTACTGATTTTATTTTCGAAAATTCTTTCAAATCTTAATATCTTTAATGCTTCTCGTTCCTTTAAAAGCATAGAAACTCGGAATCATAAGCTATACGTCAGCAACGTTATTCTTAAGTTTCACGTTGGTGGGAAGCGACGAAAACAATTTTAATTAATGTGCTTAAAAATCAATTTTAATTAAATTTAATAAAGTAATATTTTTATAATATAATAAATTTATTAATAATAATTTTATTGTAAAAAAACATTTTTAATAATAATAATTACTTTCATCCATAAATTATAATTAGTTATATAAATATAAAATACAATCGAGAGTAAAAAATTAACAATCATAAAAATATAGTAAAATAATTATTTTCTAAAGTTAATATAATTAAAATAAAATAAAAATAAATAAAAAATATTATACTTGACGTACTCTTCTTCTGCATGTAATAATATCATCAAATACGTGACATTAGCCACGTCACACATTTTGTGTTGTCACGTAATGATGAGTATATGGATAAAAATTAAGGGAAAAGTTCCTTTTCAAAAAAGAAAAAGATCAAAACTCAAAGAAAAAAGTGATGAACTTGTACGAGTGCTTATGAAATGACAATGCATGAGTTGGATCTAACATTTAAATGTAACGTTAGTCAAACTTTTAATTGAGTGATTTAACTCTTTTGAGGTAAATTTTGTATGTTCATGAACAAATTTTCTCTGAGAAGGATGGTGATGATGAATGCATGAAAAAGATAGAAGGAAATGAATAAAGAGACTTGAGTTAATAAGTATGACTAAGAACCTTCTTGTTCATAAAAATATCTTTATTTTCCTTTTATTTTTAATGTCATGGACCTCATATTCATTACTTTGGTTGAATTTTGCTCTAATTGAAGTTTTAGTTTGGAACATGTAATTGGAGCTCAATTGAAATTCATTCAATCAAGACGCAATCATTTTGAAGCTTGGCGAAAAAGAAGTACAATGTTATGCAACGAAGAAAAGCATGTGAAAATCAAGTCTTGCATAATAACCTACATGACTTCCCATTTCGGGCACATGGCACTCGAGAATTCTCATATCCTTCATTTGAATTTAAATTTCAAATTTTATTCCCATTTTATTTTGAATTCACAAAAAAATATATTCAAAACCTATATAAGGCCACAATGTAATATTGTTGAACCCTTTTGAATGAACAATAATTGCTTTCATAAATTATGAGAACAAGATTAAAAAAATCTTATCTTGAAATATAAAGAGTTTAAATTATTGCGTGCTTAAAAGAATATGATATTATTTTAAAGTTTAAAACATTAAGTATTCTTAAAATATATATATATATATATATATATATATATATATATATTATTTTCAACCTAAAAACTTTATCACGTATATATTTTAAAGTAAAATTTTGAAATGATCACATGAAGAATAAGTTATATTTTCACTGATAAAACATAAGTTAATTATATAAAAAATATATAATATCACTTTTAAGACATTAAGTCTTTTTTAATTATAAATTATTTAACTTTTTTATTTATATCGAATTATGAAATAAATTATTCTGTTTTCTTATTTATAGAAATATTCACAGAGAAACCTAAAGCTAGATTTGAAATAAAGAAGAGTGAGATTTCATAAGTGGTAGATAAACCTAATTTGCTGTTTATCATCTTTACTTGTGTTCTTTAGTTAGGTGTACATATTTAGGTTGATACTTCATTGAGGCATTTGAGTTAAACTACCTTCACATGAATATATTTTGCCTTATCATGAACGAAAAGGGGTACCATAAAAACAACATGGTGTAACCCTAGACCTCTCTCTGTTGAGTATGCAACTATGAACCAACGTTGAGAATTCAACTTGTGGCAAGGTGCTATGAAGAATGATCTCCATAGGTGATTGATCGAGTTACGTACTTGCTTTTGCAAATGTGGTTCACCTAACAAAAGATAACCAACCCAAACACGTCAACACTTGAAGTGTGTATTTTGATGATCATCGATCTTCCAACATTGAACAAAGTTTATGATGAGGAAATTATGGTCTTCCCTACCTAACTATTTGTCTAGAGCTATAAACTTTGTGTTATAGGTTTTTTTTTTTTCAATGTTTAAATTTCTAAATGAATTGATTAAGATAGGTATTATTATTATACTAATTCACAATTTCTTGATTGAATTGTGCCATACTCCAATGGTTATTGAAGACTACTTTTTGTTTACGTAATAATTGAATATAAAGATATAGATTAAATTTTAAATTCACATCAAATATTCATAATATAATGTTTATTATAAGTTATAACTATTTTTTTATTTTACATATATAAATATTGAATATGTTGACATACAGTTTAGTGACTTTTGGTCTAAAATCTTTCAATATTATCTTTAAATATAAACGTATCTAATTTTTATTAAGATATCTTCTTCAAAAGTTTTTTTTTTCAATAAAATATTGAGTAGATAACATGATACAAATATTTAAGGTATAGTATTCTATTAAAGGTATTTGTATTAAGAATTATATATTAAATTCAAACAATTATTTTTTATGACGTAAAATTAGTATATGTACTTTTTCATGGTAATATAGTTTTTGTATAAATTATAAAATCAATAAATATAATTTGTCTATATTGTTTCATTATATTCAATATTTTTGAAATTGTCTTGATTTGTTTATTTCCTTTTCGGTTGAAAATCCTAAACTCACATCACATGCATGCACGTAGACGAGTTCGTTAGTTTTACTATTTACAAACAAATATAACTCATGCTTCGCGTCGCACTCTATTGGGGCATTTTATATCCTAAATTGGATGAAATTGATGCCAAAAGCATTATCGTAGTTTTTCTCTTACAGTAATGTCAATCAGTCCTAACCTACACTTCAATTTGCAGAGTAATCAAATCAGATTAACAATGACATGTTATGATTATGCGAGCAAAGACAATGCTTTTATGCATGTTAGACAAAGTATAACTTTGCCACTCACTACTACGTCATGTATACTATATCCTATGTTTGCATATAACAAATTTAGACCATTTTACTGAATCCTTTCTTAGTCCTAAATAAATATGTTGAAGTATGTAAACTATTTATCCCTTGATGAAAAGGCAACAAGTTACAAACAAGGAAGAAAGGCTAAAACAACCCTCATGATGTCTATATATAGTGGTTATCAACTATAAGAGAGCAATTGATGATTAAGAACATGAAAGAAAGTTTCTTGGCACAGGTAGCATATAAGTCTTGTGTTTAAAAGTATTTTTACCTGAAGTGAAAAAAGCATATTTGGCTGATCTAATTATAGTTTCAGCACTATATTATATATATATTACTTATATATGATGGCTCCCTATTTAGTAGGATGTCCAGTAATTGTCTAGATCCATGCAGTGGTCCATGCCCATGTACCTATTGCCATGAGAATTTGAACTGCTCATGTCTGCACCATACCCTACATTGTCAGCAGCAAGAGCACTGGGTGTCACCATGTTGGAACTGAAATCATGATGCACTTGGGCAACTGTGTGAGCAGAAGGTGGCTGTGGTGGTGGCATCATTGGCCTCAAAAGGGGTTGTGTTGGCGTGGTGGTAGCAGTAGAAACTGTTTCTCCTCCCAGGTTCAAATTAAGGCCAGAAATGGTGAACCCTCCTCCTGCTGTTGCTGCTGCTGGATTGTTCAAATAGGGGTGCATTATTGGCAGGTTCATGTTCATCACATTCACACTTGTGGATCCACCACCCCTCAAGACCCTTGTCATTTCAGCTACCTCTGAATGGCTCATCATGTAGTTTCTTGATCCATAAAGGAAATTTAAATTAGCAGAAGGATCTCCCAGGTGCATCATTGGGGGTGGCACAATGCTAGGGCCAACCTCCAGACTATAAGGATTCACTGCTCTGGTGTGGTTGGAATTCGAGGGGAACTTTTTTGCACCAGCACTCTTGCGAAATACCCGGCAAACCACCCATTCATCTTGCTGTATATGAGAGTGAGTGTCATGCATATTTTTCATTAGTTCGTGGTATATTCATTTACTAGAAAATGATTTGACACCTTAGAAGATTTTGTACTTCACATTCATTTGAGAAAAAGAGAGAGAGGAAGCAAAGTGAGATAAATTATCAACAGCGAGTGGATGATCATATCATGGTTAAATAGCTGGGTATATATTATGGACTATTATATATATATTAATATGATTATAGTCATTGATAAATTGATATTATATTTATTGAAGTATTGAAAAAATATTCTTTTTCTACAATATTATTATCATTTATTTTGCAAATATGTTAGCACGTGTTAGATCACTTTCTTATTCCTGATGTAGTAACTCTTAAAAAATTAAGTCATGTATAGGATTTTGAATGTATTTAATTGGTTTTATTTTACTTATATATATGTTTATATAGTTATTTTATAACTAAATATATTTAGAGACACAAATCAGGTGTCTCATTTATAAATCTCACATTGTGCTCATAAAGAAATTTACGAGTGGATTAAAAAATATTGCTTTGTCATACTTGAGGAGAAATTGTGTGATTAGTTACTCTTGTGAAGAAAGTGTTAAGGAAAATAAGAAAAAAAAAGTGTCAAATTTTCATTGGAAGAACAACATATACAAATAAATAGCACAAATAATTTGAATCTAGTTATTTAGAGTAATATCTATAACAGGAAAAAAAAGTATAAGAATATCTACCTTCACCCAAATGTTCTAAATGAAAGGGAAAAAAAAGAAACAAAGAGAAATATAAAATGTGAAAAAATCATCAACTTTCATAATATATATAAATCTAACTATTTTTTTTAATGATATTATTTCTAAAATAATTAACTGTAATTTAATTTTTGTAATTGAAATTAGTAAAATTAAATTCTATTAACGGATTTTCTTAGTTATTGAAAATTAATGATCTTAGTTATAAATAAGTGTAGATGTAATACCTTATTGATCTTGAAGGTGGATTTTGAATGAATGCGATATTCATGCATGACCCAGTTGGTTTTTTCTCCTCTGGGAGCCCTACCTTTGTAGAAAACCAGAGTTTTCTTCATACCAACCAACTCCGATGTAACACTGTTGAGGATCTCCTTGTCTTTCCCAGTGGTTTTCCAGTACCCTGTGTTTGTTGCTCTGTTGGTTCTCACACCTGTCGGATATTTACGATCTCTTAGGTTGAAGAAGTACCATTCTTTTTGCCCCATCTTCGCCTTCCCTATTTCACAATAAAAATCAACTGAGAAAACCCTATTAATTTGTTGGAATAAATTAGATAGGAACCTACATCTTCATCCATAACGTATTACAAAAAACAAAATAGATTTATTAGCTGGAACAAGTGTGTCGGTCACTTGGTTGTGAAATATGATATCATACAGAAACCCTAGATGGCGTTGACTATTTTCAGAACAACATGGATATAAGCAGTAAGTACTAAAACTGATGAACAATGAAGCAAATATATATAGTTTCCTCTGATCTATAAGATGAACGTTGAATTGAACGAAAAACATGGTTTAATGTAAGATAAGTATACCCGGAAGCTCCCATGGCTCACATTTGTTGAGATCTACATCAGCTATTGCTTTTCCTGTAAAATTAGGATCTGAAATCTTGTTTGTGAGATAGTAAGAGATGAGTTCTTCGTCGGTGGGGTGAAACCGAAATCCTGGTGGTAGGGTTTCCTCCTTCTTCTCACGAGTCTCTTCCATTTCAATATCTTTACTCTCTTTGCTAACAATTTCCTTGTCTTTCTGTGGCACACAAAGAGTGACATGATGTACAAATTGATTTTACTATGAGCTTCAAATTTTGCAAACTAAATGGTTAAAGAATTAAACTTTAAACAAGGTCTCTGATATTATATATAAATCCCCTACTCAAAAACGAAGGAATCTATATATAATTGAAAAAAAAAAAAAAAATCAAGTTTAGGATTTTGTATGATGACTCGATGTTGCTTACTTGCATGGAGAGAAAAACGTTTCTTCTGTTCAGGTTTTGATGCTTTATATGAGCAAGGTTATTCACAAGAAACACTGACTTGAGGGTTACTACAAGTGTAAAGGAGATCAAGGGGATGAAGCTTTCTAATTAGTAATCACCATGCATGAGAAGTTGAAGAATTTAAGTATAAAGTCATCGAAGAAAAAAGGGTCAAGTGTGAATGTGAAGATTTCACCAAACCAGGGTTTTTTTTTTACCTTCTAGTTGCATTGAACAGCTGTGAATTCCAAGGAAGATACCTAGACTTGGATTAAAATGACACTCTTGACCTTGTCGTTGTTGTTGGGTTTCAATGACTCGGTTTGAAAGTTTTGGAATTCAACTAAATATACTTCATGCATGATGAAATTCTTAATGACACTTTTGTTAAGTTATATAATTAACAAACTAATTGTAGAAGCATAATTGAAAAAAATAAAACATCCAACAATATAATCGGTAATAAAGATATATATAAAAAAAAACATTCATAAATCATAGTATGAGTTTCATTTGTTTACATTGATGATGATTTTATACCGTTTAAACTTAGGTTAGAGTACCTTGTATTCTATTTTTTTGATAAAGAATTTGCTTATGAGATGAAAAAAGGAAATTGTTTAACTTATCTATACAACTAAACAAGTTGTAATTTTTTGTTTATATATATTTCAAGATTTAATTGCAAATTAATTGCATCAATAAACTATAATGAAGTTAATCTTATTTTTATTTGGGTTAAATTTGATCATTTTCTCTCACTATAACTATAAATTTAATTATGACAAGTATAATAAGATTTTAATTCACTCTTTCAATTACCACCATGAAGAGTGAGGTTAAATTTAACTATATTTTACTGTGTTCACTGGCTATATTAACCTTGTACGATTTTATCTCTTAGTTATTTGCTGAAAAATTTTATTCAAATTAAAACAATTTTCAACTACTAAAAACCAACAATATTTATCTGAATGTATTAGAATAATACGAGTGTAATTTATATAAACTACTACATTATTGAACCATTTTAATTTAAACATTTATTTTTAGTTGTACCATTAAATTAAAATTTCTTTCCATATAAATTATGTATTCAAAAATTAATCTTAATCCATATAGTCCTGGTTTCTTTAATCTATTTATGATATCATTAATTGTCTCTAAAAACCATGATTCTGTTTCTCTAAATAATTTTAATTTAAAATGAATAATGGATATTATATATATATATATATATATATAAGTTATTAAAGTATAATATCATTTACTAAGTCAATCAGAATAAGTAATAAGTTTATGTTGTTATATTCAATTATTGTTCTAACCAAACTATAAATATTATAAATGCATCGTTATTAGTAACTTTTGGTTACTGTGTTAAGGACAATATTGTTTTCTGGTTTTGTTCATTATATCATAAACCCTTAAGATGAAGAGAAAATCACTCGTATTTTTTAAATAAACTTAAATTATTAATAAAATATTAAACTATATAAAACATCATTTCATCTATTCAAATCCGATTATTTTATATGCACTATTAGTATTATATAAAGATTCTTATATTGTAAATTAGTAAATTACCTTGAGTATTAAAGTAATTATTTAAAAATTACCTTGAATTTTACTTTTAAATTAATTATAAACTCAAGTGTTATTGTAACTAAAGGAAAATATAAAATTATTTCTAATAAAAATTATATATTAATGAAAATATAAGGACTAAAATGTTTTCTTATCTATATTTTCTGTATAATTTTTTTTCTCTCTTTAAATATGTATTTACTCTTTTCTTCACTCATTAAAATATCACTTTTTTTATTTTTTTCTTCTCTTTCTACTATTTTTAAATGTGTAAATTATAATAATAATTTTTTATACTAATTCACCTTTTATAAATAGGTATATTTGATTTAAAAAAAAAACTTTATCGCCATGATATATGTAGAAAATATAATATTATGTAAAAAAAAGCATATGTTGAATTATGAACTCTCGAAATAATTTTGAGAAATATAATAAAACTCACTTCCCATTAACATGATTTATGAAAGAAATTTTAAAAAATAAATCAAAAGTAAAAAAAATACTTCCAATTTCATGAGATTCAAAAGAACTATTACAATTTCCATATCAAACATTTTGTCCATTTTTGTCTTCTTTCGCACCGATTTTATACTAGTCACGAAAGTTTACAACTTTGGATCTAATTTGATTTTTTTTTACTTTGTTCAAATAATCAGACAAAGTGCCAACATTGTCATGTTCTGGTATTTATGAAACACAATCAAACATTGTTAGATCTTTGTCAACATCTAATTGGACTATGCAACTATCCAACAAACCATGTAGTTATAAATCAGCAATTACAAATCATGGATGAAGATTACTTATCCATTCATTTAAAGATTAACCTAAATCTAATTCTGTAATTGACAAGATAACAAACGTGTCTTCTAATATCTTTGCATCAATGTTACCTTATAATTTAGGTTATATTGCAACGACTTTGTTGACGTTAATGGTGAAGTAGTTGGCGTGCATTTGTCAGGAAGAAGCAAAGAAGAACCCTAATTCTAAATTGCTAACAAGTCGTGCTTTGTTATATGCTACTTGTCATACACTTCAAATTTAAAATAGAATAGAATACAAAGGCTCAAAACCAGGTTGGTCTTTCATAATTGACAGATAAAGTCAATCGGATTTTAATTTTTTTTAATAACTGAAGCTATTGAATAGTTTAGATGCTAAGAAAATGACATATTAGGATTGTTGGCAATGTGATAAGTTTTGTTTCCACAAAGGATACACTTTCAAAGGAATGAAATCCCTAGCTCTTTCATTTTAAAGTGTAATTTTTTTTTTTTTTAACTTGGTTGTTATTACTTTTTTATTGAAAAGATGTAATATAAATGCGATAGAATGACGATCCTATATAAAAGAAAATGGAGATTGTTGATGAGATATGTAATTTCTCGATGTTTAAATATCTAAACAGCGGATATCAAATTTATTTTACAGAACACAAAAAGTCTTCTAAAACATCTGTGTATTCGGATATTTTATAGGAAAAAACTTAAATATAGTTTTACAGTTATTATATTTTTTTTCAAATAGGTTTAAAGCTTTATTTTTATAATATGCAATACAAGTTTTATTTTATATTTCTTCACAATATTGTATTTATTTTAGACGAACAATTATATTTAGTTTATGCAATACAAGTTTTATTTTATATTTTTCACAATATTGTATTTATTTTATACGAACAATTATATTTAATTTATGCATAGACAATGTTATTTTAATAAATGATGAGTTTATTCTACTACAGTAGGTATCAGATAAATTATGGTAATCGTGACTGTTTTTTATCTAAAAAATTTGGATTTTTTTAGTCTATCTATTTTTCTCTTTCCTTAAATACAGTATGTAACTCATTACTCTGCTGTGTCTTATTCTGTATATAGCTTATATGGCTGTGTTTTGGTATATAGCTCACATAGCTCACATAGCTCCATTATGTTATGTAGAGCTTCTGTGTTTTATTCTACATATATAGCTCACTTAGTTGTATTTTTCTGTGTTTTATTTTATATACAGTGTTTTGTGCTTCTGCAAGAAGCTCAGTTTTCTCCCTTTATTGAACTTTATGCTGATGCAAAACACAGTTTTCTTGATCTTTAAGAATAATAAGTTTGCAATTACTAGCCGTTTCCTGGAATATCCTTTCTCATTTTTTAAATGTATACTTCTTCATTCTTTAGGTACCAGAAACCTCAAATTTTAATGATATGTCTTTCTGGTGTATTAATCAACTGATGTCATTTTTATGAAAAAAATTTGATGGTCGATATGTTTAATTCTTTACTATATGAAAATGAAAAATATTGTTGGCATAAATCTCTCCTCATGTAAGCTGATATCATCCTAATTTCATGACAATGAGCTATTTAGTTGAGTGAGCTGCTATCCAGGTTACTGAATTATCTGAATTGCTTTAACTATCTATTTTAGAACTCATGGCCCTTTTACTATTTTTTAGGATATGTTGAGCTCAATTTTGATATTATCGATCATGTTTGAGGTATCAATTGATGTTTTGAGTTTGACTGGTTTTAGGTTACCTTGTTTACAATTGTTGCCCGGGAAATCGATATCTGGTGTATGATAGATCAATGTGTTATACTGATAATCTAGTTCAATTGCCTTTGTAATACTGAGAGTTGAAGAACTAAACTACTACTGTAATACTGACTACTAGTACATAGCTGCAAACATAGTATTCCAGATGGAGTGGGAGTGTTAGAATAGTATGACATTCTATGTTAGAATGGATATAAAAGGAAAAAGTTGTATTAACCACTGAAATTTCAATAATGTACATTTTAACTAACTTAAAATTACTTACTTAACTAATTTAAGAGTAAACTAGCAGAAGGAGAAGGTGTTACAATAATAAAGCCTTTGCATGTGAGAATCTGAAAATTAGATAATGAGATTTTATTTAACTGACTTTGTCTAGACAAAGCAATGATCATTTTTTTGTTTTTAATTGAAAATCGAATAAAGATCACCTAATGCTGTCAACAACCTTGTTATCTATCTGATCCACTACTTTACGTTGTCCAACGTCAAAGTATCGGTAGAACACAAAATCAGCCTTTGCTTCATCTGACGGATGCGGGTTCTCAATGCTCTTAGAAATACAAAGAACATTGCATTTTCCAACAATTGATTCCTGGTGTAGAAGGAAGCAAAAAATTCAAAACAACAGAAAATTTGCCAAAAATTCAAAACGACTTAAACACTCCGATTGACACCAAATATCCAAAATTAGAACAAGAGGTCAAGAAAATAAGGATCCAAAACTTACCAAAAGATAGACATTTGCAAAGCAAATAGTATAAACGACAAAATACTAGCCAAAATCAAACAACAGAGAAAAGTTTGAGGATCCAAAACATACCAAAGGAATTTGCAACGCTTATACCCAAAACGAGGGAACAGCCTATAATACTCAAAACGACAGACATAAAAACAGCTAACAATACTCAAAACCACAGCAAAAACATTTAGAATCCGAAACTTAGCAAACGATTAACGCTACAAAAACAGAGAAAGACAACCAAAAATATTGAAAACGTAGCCAACAACACTCTAAACGACAAAAGAATATCCAACAAATATCCAAAACGACGGAGAAAGGGTTCAGAAACGGAAACTTACCAGAGGATTGACATTGGCGAAGCCCTTGCCGTCACCACACGCCAAGAACAACTCGTTCTCCTTGGTTTGAATCCCTTCCAAGTACTTCCGAATCTCGCCGGGGCGGAAGAACCACTGCACCTTGACTTTCCGGGACTTATCGCGATTCTCCCATATCTTGATGAGCTTCCCGATGTGGGGCACCTCGCTGCTTTCGTTTTGGAGACAAACGGCATCGTTGAGAGTGTACAGCACCCCTTCGAAGGTGAAGGACTCGTAGAACTGCACATCCCTCTTCTTCCCACCCATGCCTCGCTTCTTGCCCCACGCGAACTCGTACTCCTCCTCCTCGTCTTCCACCATTGACGCCGCCATTGGTTTTTGTGACGGAAAGAGTGGGAAATTGCTGCGCGGAGAGAGGAGAAGGTCTTAAGTTGTTTGAAAGCGGCAAATGCAAGGTTTTAAAGAATAAATAAAGGAAATAAAGATGAAATAAGCGAAATAAAAATCTGAATGGTTAGATATATGATAAATTCAAAATAAAAATTTCAGAATTAAATGATTTAATCGATTTCATGATAAACTTGTTGTGATATCTATTAACAGCTACTGCAAATTCGTAGTCCAATGATTACTTTTTAATTAAAAAAATTAAATCCTTACCCGAGAGAGGAGGGAATCACGAAGGAGGTGTGATTAGGGTTCGAGTCCAAACACTAAATAATTGACCTCTAAACCCCAGCCTCAAATATCACCCTTGGAATTCATGTTTCCGACCACACAAGATTGTAAAAAACCTGAATCAGTGGTGCAGACGGTGGCGTAAGAGAAGAAGCACTACGGAAGCGAAGTTGACGACGGAGATGAGTGATCCGAACAAGCGCGGGTCCAGGCTGTGGCTTGGGACGTTCCCGGCGAGATCCTACGACCGAGCCGTCTTCACTCTTTTCTGCACGTTGAGTAGAGTGAGAAAGTTGAGATGAGATGGGCTGGGACAGTTTGGGCCTGGCCCTAAGATAGATGAGATGGGTGTTCACATTTATTGTGAGTGGGTTGGTTAGTACATACAAAGTGTGAGTGGGATTAATTTGTAAAATTGAATGTTTTATAAAATTTAATAAATTTTTTAATTTGGTCTATTTAGGCTAAGTTCACCCACTTGACAATTATGCTATAATTTAATTTAAGATAAATAAATGGAAAATTTAATTATTAAGTATGAATGAATTCTATGAATATTATATTTTAAAAATATTATTCAAATAGATTTTTATCAATTTATTTATTTAATTAGACTTGTTTATTGTTCATGTTTAACTTTCTTCTCTTTATAATCGTTTTTGTTTTTCATTTACTCTTTATTTTTTTTCTTTTGTAGTGTAGGTGTCTTAGTTTTTCTCTTTCCTTTCCTACTTATTTTCCTAATTAAACAATTATATTAAAATTTAATAAAAATATTTTAAAATCAACATTAAAATTAAAAAATATTAACTAATTATTTAAAATTATGATTATAATAAATAAGTTTATTTATTTTGATAATACATAAATTTATTTACTATAACATAAATAATTACTCATCTAATAAAAAATATTAAATATTTATGAGTTAAATATATTTGTTTATTTAATAATTTAAAGTTATAATTAAATTGAGTTATGATAATTAGTTAAATTAGCTAATTTTAAAAAAATATTTGTTAAAAAATAATTTCAAAATAAGTATTTAATTTTTTCTTAATAATTATAATATAATAATAATATTTGTAACATCTCAACTTTATCTTATAGTATTTAAAAAAAAAACAAATATTAGGGGAAGACAGAAAAAAGAAAATAATAAAAAATAAATGAAGGAAGAAAGAAAAATAAAAATAAAAATAGTGAAAACAATTATATTATTTTACATCATCTAATGGTAAAACATTGACACGGTACAACTCTTCTTAAAATTTTACTTATAGTGATGGAAGTATATTTAGAAGGGTAGGAGTTTGGCCTGAGAGTTTAAGATGATAATAATAATAATGAAGGCTGTTGAAAATATATATGGTGATGGCGTCATGTTGTCTTCATCCTAATTTCGTAAGATTATTAGTAATCAAATGCCGGAATGAGTAAGGAAAGGAAAATGATGGGTGTTGAAAGTTATGACCTGCGTAGTATGTAACGGCTCCACTTTTCCTCAAAATAAAAATATATTCTAACTTTGAGTTTACATAAGTCGATTTTACAGAGGTTAGTTTGTTTTAAAAAGTTGTTAATTTTAGGGTTGCTAGAGTGTAAACTCAATTTGTAGCGATGAGGATTGAAACTAAAACACATAGTTAGATGACTCCTGTGGTATGAATTTTCATGTTGCTACCTGATTGATATTTTTGGTGACATCATTACCACGGTGCAACACCAATTCAGGATCAGTATTTGCTTATGGTATACATATATGTTCTGGGTGTTAAGTTTTATGTTTCTTAAATAAATATTTCAGAATAAAATCTGCTATTTTGTAACTATAAATCTTAGAATGAGGTGGTTAGGAATGGATAGGTGAAAAATCAATTACAAAGTGTATTCCAGAATTCTTATAAACAAAAGGTGTACCATGAAATGAAACCATGATCAAGGTGTTACATCAGACAATTAACTCTGGTAGAACATATAAAGTCTATCCCAGCCACACCTTTTCTTGGTCCCTCTAAAATCATTGTTTTTAGTTTTTCTAAATTAAGTGAATAAGAAATTAAACTATAAATAACTAAATTGTGCTTTACACTATTAAAAATAATCATTAGCAAATTAATTTATACATGTATAATTGTGCTTTTTTATCTTCAAATATTTTTAAGTAAAATTTTAAAAAATTAAGAAATATTGATTCAAACTAATTTTCAACAATGATTTTGGATTAATTTTTAAAAGTTTTTTTTTTTTTCAAATAACGAGCAGGGTCACCAAAGATCCAATCCAGCTTTAGAAACAATGATATCAAACAAAAACAAAAACTCAATTTGAAAAGTAAAATTTATACTTGAATAAATTGAAGGAGAAAATCATATAAACTTATTTGATTGAGGATTAGACCTGTCAGAGTTTAGAGTGAAATTTAAAGGCAATTCAATACTGCTCTGTTTTTTCTCAAAGCACTATCGATTCTAAGCTAACAATCACCAGCCTCGTCTTCCTAATTGGCAGGTGTGCAATGTGACATCCTTTTCATCTCTCCAACGCTTAGACAATTCTTCTACTATTTTTTATACAAGTTTTTGGATAAAGGAGGCAAAAAATAAAAAGGAAATTAAAACAAAGCTTTAGGAATCATCTCTTTTGGCTGCATGTTTGCAGGGAATTTGTTGGTTTTGATTCTTTAGTTCATCTCCAGCCACCAAAAAATAAGCAGTATGCCTACAAAACAAAAAAAGACGTCAATGTTAGCAAGGATAATCATTTTCCAGGTAGTGGAACTTTGGTTCAGAAAATAAACCTGAAAAAGTTCATCATTTTGGTCTTTGAGTCATCATCTATATCTGGAGTACTGTCTAATGCTTGTTGCATGTGATGTAACCACCTCGCTGCAGCTTGATGCGTGACAGGAAAAGGGCGATGTCGGCCAATTAGAGCAGGATGCCCTGCCAAATATCAAAAGTGGAAACAAGGTTCAATTTTCAAACATCAGAGTTGCTGGGTAAGTCAAAGAAGTAAGTTCACTCTCTCCCCAAAATCAGTACAGAAAACACATAGCATTCAATTTTTAATTCCAATAATCCATTCCGCTGGAAAACACAGGATTTAGCCACTCCATTTAAATGGTAGGACGAAAAACATGGCAAAGATAAATGGATAAAAATGCAAACAGACATGAGTGCAGAAACTTATCCCTAATCCTACGAACATTTTAACTAGTAACCCGTCTCACCTCACTACACTTAGAATGCTGCTACATCTAGATTAGCTTCGTTCCTAATTGATTTGGATCCTATCCTGGTCTTCAAAAACAAGATGAAGTCTTATTGGAAATAAAGACACATGCAACGAAACCTCCACCATGATTTTGATTGGTTGGATGGGTATCCAATACTGTAGTTACATTCAAATTATTTATGTCTTTCTCTCTCTAATATGATTACATCAAGCTGTTTAACAACAATATATTCAATTAGGTTGGACAATCTCAAGACGTAATTATTACATCAAGTAATTTGTGTTACGAAGATTCCTTGTAACCCTCTTGAAGAGCTGACATCTAATATAATTTTCACTCTATCAACATTGACCCCATAGTAACCTTTTTCCCTTTGATAGTTTCACTCATCTATCACTATTCGGTTTGTATCTTAATCTAACCTATAGGTAGTCCAACTCTTGACAAAAACACTAATTGTTCAAAGGATCATTAATCAACTTGATTTTGTCTTATCTCTAAGTCAATTGAGACAACTAGATTATATTTTTGAGAATAGAGGTCAGAACACTTCAACATTTTTTTTTTTAACCTAGACCAAGTATCTATGTCATCTTCTTCACATATTCAATAAATTTGAAGCTAATCTAATTTCCTCTCCAATGGCATTCACTTGCAAATTATTCAAAGAAGGTTCTAACTTTCTTCCTGATGCAACCTCGTGGTTGGCACACTTTAGCATGGCCACTATAACATGTCCTAAAATCAGTTATCCAGCGGACAAAGTTTCTCAAGGCTCAACCTCTTGAATATCACTGGATTGCTGTAAAAAGAATTCTCAGGTTTTACATGGTCTCCATCTAATTCTGCATCTCCCATTTCTTTGCAGGCCTTTTCTGATGTAGACTAGGTTGTTGATCCTCATAATCAAAGGTCAACCTCTAGTGCAAGCATTATTACTGCATGAGTATCAAGTCTTGCACAAACAAGAGTTGAAATCTTATAGATTGAAGCTCTTCTTAGAGAACTTAGAATATCACATGGTCCTCCTACTATTTATTGTGATAATTAGAATGCAATCACTCTTGCTCACAATTTGGTCCTTCATGCAAAAACCAAGCATATGAAATTGATTGTTGGAAGAAGGTCTAGTACTAAAACAAAGTATCGAAGTGTTGATCAAGCAAGAGTTTCTTTGGATTGAAATTCTTCTTAAAAGAATTGGAATATCACATGGTTCTCCTACCATTTATTGTGATAATCAGGATGCAATGAAAGACGATCTGTACAGACTGAATCGTGGAGACAGTCTCTTTGTCAATAAGGTTATATTCATCCAACCTCCCCAAACCCCACTAGGTAAGTCACCCAAACTATTTGGCTATTTAGTACCCAGTATAGGCAGAGAGTAGACTTCACAACCATAATCCTTTGTAATTTTCATACAATCTCTTGCTTAAGTACTTAAACTGAAGCATTGAGAGGAGTCATTAGTTTATAATTTTTTTCAGTAATCCTTTGTCAATTGCACAGATTAATCTAACTCTTTCAGTAACCACTAACCAGAGCTACTATTTGGCATGGTGAATACCAGTATCCCAATCCCACACATTTTGCTTAAATAACATCATCTGAGGATACCAATAACACGGGTTCAGAAACTAGTATCCAATATAAATAATAACATACAGACAGAACATCAACATTACTTAATCTTTCATTCATTCTCCCTCAGCATTTTGTAAAGAGCAACACATTCCTCAAATATTGTCAAATTAATCCCAAAACCATATTACAAAGACTAGCACCACACAAGTGGCCACCTTTTATTCCAGGGAATAAACAATGAGTTTCACACTTTTTTTAAATTTACTTAAAAACTTCTCTACTAGTTGGCTACAGTATTCAGTACGTTTCACAGAATAAGACCAAATGCAATTTTTTTTGGTTTAATTTTACGAACCATTGGAAACTTAAATATTTGAGTTAATAGTCAAAGCACAAAACAAAATTAGAATGGTATTCCTTACAATTAGAATCTTTGTATTTTTTCTTTTTCATTAAAAATAGAAAATTTAATACAATTCATCAACACTAATTACCAAAAACACCTAACACCTAAACTGCCAAAAAGTATTTCCTTAACTACATTTTATAGTCAAATTATATAGCAATGCCCATATAATTAAAATTACACATATTAATGTTACATAGGAACATGTCTATGAAAATTTACTTTTCCCGATTTCATCTGTTTTGAGGAAGAACAACTGTTTGCAATTTCAGTTTATAATTTTTTTTTCTTTCTTATGTAAAAGCTAATTGATTCTGATTATAACTAGAGCTGTATAACTATGCTTAATTCAATTGGCTGGCCTAAAAAACCTATTATAAATAGAAAAAAAATAAAAAAATTGTGATCTAAATTCAACCTAACCATTTCTTACTACCCCAGTCAGTTTAAATGGCACTCTAATTTGACTTAGACAGACTAACATTTGAAATACTATAAAATAATAATTATATCCATATAAAACAATATCTTACTATCTGTATATAGTAGTTTAAATATTAAATTATTATATAAAAATCAATATTAAATTTATTAATATAACTTAAATTTAAAAATACATATTTATTTTTTAGTTTTTATTTAAATTTATTTTTATTTAGATTTAGAAAATTAAAGTATATCAAAATGATAGGTTGACTCAAAAATTCACATTCCACCAACACAAATGTATTAGATAACTTAACTTTTCACAATTTATTCAGCCATCTTTAATTATAATCCGTAATATATAATCAACTATATAAAAACTGTTCAATACTTCCAACACTCATCCTAAATGAGTATTCTAGGGTATGCTTTTTTTGGTCAAATCTTTCATGAAGAAAACTGTTAGTATATAATGGTATCCTAAATGAGTATTTCTCTTCAAACATGAAGAACATCTGATCTCCAATTTCACATACTAATTTCAGTTCATTTGAAAAGAATATATGAAATCTGCAACAAATATTAAGTTCCTAGAAAGGAAAATTATACCTCTTCTTTGAGAAAAGAGAGGAGGACCACCCATTCGTTGAATGAAAAACTCGTATTGGTTTTGAATGGCATTTTCTTTCTCAGAATTGGCAAATATTGAACGAAACCACTCTTCCTCGTCATCATATACCCTGTCCCCAATTCAAAAAAACGGAAATACATTATTAAAAACTGAAATATACCTAAGTTTATAGAAGAAAAAAAAATACCTGTTGTAGAAATTGGTAGAGAGGTTAATGAAGGTGTCAAGGCCAAGCTTTTGGAAGAGGTTGGTGTCATCAATGGAGAAAGCGTCCTCTGTGGGAACTCCGCTCCATTCAGAAGCTTTTTGTTGGAGACTCTGCATTTTTTTTCAATAGAAAACAGTGTTTTGCTGAGCCGGTGTGAGAAAACAAGCAATCCCACTGATTTATGCAAAGCCCGTGGATTAAGCGTGGAGTGCACGCGGTTAATTTTTTATTTTTTGTAGTTATATAAATAAATAAACAAAAATTTAATAATAACTTGACACAGAAAAAAATAATGAGATTTGTGTTGCCTTTTTCTTATTTTCATAGATGAGATATTTTTCTGACTCTATTAATATTAATTAGTAACGTTTATATATTACAATTAAATTTCTGTTTTGTCAGAATAAATATTATTATTTTATAATATTATTTAAAAATGTCATTTTCAATTGAAGGTTGTCCAATAATATATCTTCAATAAAAATGAGACTGAAAAAAATCTCATACGTGATGAGTACAATTTTATATATATATATATATATATATATATATATATATATATATATATATATATTTAAAAATGATTAGAACAACATAACATATTATTTTTTTAAATAATTATATAATTACGTCTAATATATAATATTTTTTTATATAAAATTTATGTAATATTTTTTATAGGTTTACCGTAGGAGCATTTATTTCGATAAGTGAGACACCTTTCTCGAATATTTAACCTTTTGTTAATAAAACATATATGATTTTCAACAAGGAATGACCTAATTTGTCTAAATAAAAATGATATTAAATTAAATCATCATCTTAAAATAGATTAGTGGTACAATTTAAAAAAATTCTTGAAGATTATTGGATGAACATAAAATAATCAATAACTGTCATTGTATTATATTATATATATATATATATATATATATATATATATATATATATATATTACTCAGCTTTTATGTAGTTAAGTTAGAATATACTTCTTTATTTTCTAATGTTTTTTTTTTTAATATAAAAGTTTAATGATGATACATTAATAATGATTTCTAATTATTACCCATTTAATATAGTAATCACAAAAGGCAATAAACTTAAATTTGTGATTAGATGCAGTGAATTAAATTAATTATGTACGTTTAATTTAAAATTTAAAAAATGAGATTCAAAAAATTGTATGTTTTGATGAGTTTTCAATTAATGGTATAAAAATAATGAAATAAAAATATTTCAGGAGAAGTGTATTATTAATTAAATATGTCCTTAGCATTGTTAAAACATACAATGGTGGAAACTTGAAAAAAAAATATATTAATAACCTAATATACTCATATATATATATATATATATATCAAAACAATTATTGTAAAAAATCAATTTCACTATTTTAAAATTTTTAGTTAAAAATAAAAAGTAATTGAAAATTAATTCAGAAAAACAATTTTTAGAAAAAGTTATTTATTTACATAATTATTAATATAATTTGAACATAAAAAATATAATATTTCTATATAATCAACGAATAAATTTATCTACATTTTATAATTTTTAATATAATTTGAATACTAAAATATAATTATTAAATTTAATATATTTTAAATAATAATAAATATATAATTCATAAATAATATAATAAATAAATCAAACTCTATAAATATTTAACTTACTTAATATAATTTTTTTATAATTATAATTTATATAGGCTTTTATTTCAATTAAAAGTGTAGACTTGATAAGGATATTAAGGAGAAACACCTAAGTCGGTTATAATTATAATTGAAATAAAATCCAAAGAAAATTTTTGGCCAAATCTAAAATAGTCAATTAAAAAATATTATATTCTTCAAATTGTATAATTTTTCCATAATTCATAAATTTTTTTTTTTACTTTTAGTTCAATTTTGTGCAAATTAGTGTTCATTTATTTTATTTTATATTCATTACTTATTTATATTATTTTGTCATAAACTTTTACATTTGTTAAAGTATAACAGGTAATTAAATGATTTTTTTTCATATTTTTTACATTTATTTAAAAAAAAATTGTGACTCATAGAAAGGGACGAAGTTTGAATCATAATAAAACTCAAACTATAAAATAAATTATTTTTAAATCAATAATATATTAAAACATGTTAGATCGTATTTGTACTAAAGCATAGGTAATCTTTGGAACACAGTAAACATTCATTTCGACACGAGATCGCAGTAATTCTGTAACAAAATTTGTAACTGTAATTTAAAAATGTACTCAAAATTGTCACAAATATGTGTTATTATTAATTATGTTTTTCATTGATAATCAAGGATAAATATGATCAATAAATAATATTTTATTTGCTTTTATATTTGAGTAATTTTCTAATAGTAATTATAAATACATAGTTTAGATTACTCTTATTTATTAAAAGTGATTTTCTATGTGTTTTTAATTCTAAGTTTGTTCATAAATTTTTTTCTTCCTATTTTTTTAACATTTCTTGATTAATACTTTCTTAGTTTTCTTCTAAATTATTCTTTAAGTTTTGTCTATACAAAATTGTATTGCTTGACAATCTTGAATATTATGTTCAATTGTTCCTATTTCACTTGAAGTTTGTTATTAAGAAATTAATTTTTTAGAACAATTAATCACTTTCAACAATAGTTTGAGTGAAGTTTTGATTATCTTATCTTGGACACATCATGAACAACTAAACACTAAAAATTAATTGAAATTGTTTTACTAACTTGTTTATTTCATTGTGTTAGTGTTTTTTTTTTTCTAATTCAAATTTTAGGGAAACTGCCAATAATTTCATCATCCCCAAACTCTCTTTAATATATAGAATCCTAATGATGGAATAAATTAAATTATATCGGACTATTTAACTAAGTGTTGACGAGGAAAGAAATATAATGTTGGATCAGTGAATGAAATTAACGGAATAAAAGAGAAATTGTAATAAATATTAAAGATAATTTATTGAAAGAGAAAATATGGTATTGGATGAGAAAAAAAACTTCAAAAAAGAAATATTCAAAAACATTATTTAGACATAATAGTCAAAGATAAAAAATGAAGATGAAGAATGAGTTTGATGAAAGAAAACAAAATTTTTCTACCAAATAAGTCAAATGTCAATGATAAACTTCCTAAATTCCATGTTTAATAATTATTATAGGAAATACTTTATTTAATGTAGTAATTGTTTCTTTTGAAGATGAAAGTCTAATATTTGTTATGTATTTAATGTCTAGAATGTAATGTGCAATTTATTAATTTAACCTTTAATATCATATTATTTTTATATTATTAGGATAAACTATGATACCATTTATAACATGGGATATGAGTTTAGCAAATATGACCTAGGTAAAGAACAATTTTGATTAATCTTGAATTGTCATGAAATGCATAGTCAAAGTTTTTTTATTTGCCTATCACACTATAAAATGTCAATTGAAATATATATTTATTTTTATTATAAAATAGAATATTTGATAATTATATAAAATCTTAATAAATATAATATCAAAATTTTTTTCTTAGATTTATAAACAATGCTAATGGAGATCGTTTTACATATACTTTTTTTTTTAATTTTTAATTATGTTTTTTTGGGTATCATAACTTAGTGAGACTTTTGTACACACTTGATTAATTCTTCATGTGAAAAATTTTACATTAAATTACTCTGATGATAATCCAATTTTGTTGTAAAACATAACAATATTAAAAAAAGTGTTAGTTTTGGTTATAGTAGCAAAATCTATGTATAATGAACTCAATATGTTATTTTGTTATAAATTTTAATTTAAATCATTTTATTATTTCATTGACTTTGTTTAATTGACTTTATATTTAATGATGTAAATTCATTTATATTTATATTTTTTAAGGTGAGTAATCAATAAGGATTTAAGTTTAATTCTCTTATAAGAGTTTATTTCTTGTTAGGAATAACAATGATAAATAATTATTTTATAAATATTTTTTATTTTTAATAACGTATAATTAAATATTAACTTATAAAATATTTAATTTTACTAAAAAGTTTAAGTTTATACAAGTAAAGTTGTCAAAATTGATGGATCTAACTCAATATAGTTTGGTCATCGTCTAAGTAAAAGAAATTGGGAAACTATTTTGGTTTGCATTTTAAAATAAAGTATGATTTTTTATTTAGTTTCACACTATATTAGAGTAATAATCTAATTAATCATTTTTTACTTGGTTGAAAATTAATTAAAAAAAATAAAACTTATTCAAATAAAAAAATCCAAAAAGAATATTAATTTTAAATTAAAAATAGAAAAATAAAATACTTTTTTAAAATTTAAGTTATATTGATAAAATTAATTTTAATTTTAGATATAATAATTAAAATATAAATAATATATATTAATAAAATAATATTCTTTTATTTTTCTAAGATAATAATTATTTTATAAAATCAATCAAGTCAGCCTAAATCCACTAGGCCAAAAGCTAATAAAAAAGATAGAATAGATGCACAAATTAAAATAGATGTCAAATTAAAAATTTATTTATGAGTCAATAATTTGTTTGAACACAGATAAAGAGGAAGCAATAATATAATCAGGAAAAGAGAAAGAGATAAGGGAAAGAGAAGAGCACACAGAGATTTATACTGGTTCGGGTATAACCAACCTTACATCCAGTTCCCAGTCAACTCTTAACACAAGAGTGACTTCCCATTCACTATCTTTCAAATTCAGTTTATAAATTACAATCAACTCAGCAGAAGAACCAGTAAAAAGTAAACTAATTAAAAAGACAATCACCTCCTTAGAAACTCATTAAGGATGAACACCTCCCTAGAATCCCACTAGGGATGAATACCTCCTCTGAACAAATCAAAGGATGAAAATACCTCCTTAGAATCCCACTAAGGATGAACACCTTCCTAGAATCACACTAGCGAAAAAACACCTCCTTTTCACCAATACAAAAACGATGAAGGTAATAAAAATAAGAACAGACACACCTGGGTAATGGAGACAACAAATTGTAGAAGCATGTAGAATGCCAATCTCCAAGAAGTGTGATTAATAATGAAAGCACAGAAGGCAGTAGAGAATATGGTTCTCTCAAAAGGTGTAAAAT